CCCGTCTCTACTAAAAATACAAAAACTTAGCCGGGCATGGTGGCAGGCACCTGTAGTCCCAGCTACTCGGGAGGCTGAGGCAGGAGAATGGTGTGAACCCGGGAGGCAGAGCTTGCAGTGAGCTGAGATCGCACCACTGCACTCCAGCCTGGGCAATGAGCGAGACTCCACTTCAAAAAAAAAAAATTAGCTGGGTGTGGTGGCGGGCGCCTGTAGTCCCAGCTACTCAGGAAGCTGAGGCAGAAGAATCACTTGAACCCAGGAGATGGAGGTTGCAGTGAGCCGAGATCAAGCCACTGCATTCCAGGCTGGGCAACAGAGCAAGACTCCGTCTCATACATACATACATACATACATACAGTCTTCCAAAGGAGGAAACACGGTTGGGGTTCAGAAGGTAGGGAGGTGACGGGGCAGTGCCTGGGTGAGGGGCGGATGCTGGTCACTGGGCTGAGAATGAGGGGAGGGAAGTGACTGGCTGTGCACAGGTCAAAGGGGGTTCATCATGGTCACCTCACACCAGCCGTGTGTGCCAGGAACCGTGGCGGTCTCTCCCTAGCCCAGGGACTCAGCTGATTCTGCCACTACCACCCCGTGCTTGTCCATGAAAACAAGAAAGCTGCAAAGAGTTAGACTAACAGAAGTCGGGGTGGGGGGCACACATGACCACCCACCCTCTGCCAGCAGCTGCAAGTTTGGGGGTTCCCCAAGCCACCCTCATGTTTGTTCAGTTGCTGAAAGGACCCACAGAAGTCACTAGAGGCTCTGATTCCTGGCTATGGCTCATTCCAGGGAAGGGACCTAGGTTAAGACCAAAGGGAAGACGCTCACAGGGCAGATCCCATGAGAGCTCCAGGCACAGGCTCCCACTGTCCCCTCCCTGTGGAGCCATGGGCAGGGAGCCAACTCCTCCTGACGGTGGTGAGTGACAGCACGGAGCATCGCCAGGAGGGAAGCCCCTGGCCTCCGTGTCCAGAGTTCTTACAGGGCATTATGGATTGAACTGTGTCTCCCAAAAATTCCTAAGTCAACCTCCTCACCCCAGGGCCTCAAAATGTGGCCTTCTTGGGAGTAGTGTCTTTGCAGGTGTAATGAGTTAAGATGAGGTCATTTTAGTAGTGTGAGCTCCTAGTCCAATATGACGGGTGTCCTTATCAAAAAAGGGAAATCTGCGCTGGGTGCAGTGGCTCATGCCTGTGATCCCAGCACTTTGGGAGGCCGAGGTGGGTGGATCACCTGAGGTCAGGAGTTTGAGACCAGCCTGGTCAATATGGTGAGACCCTGGCTCTATGAAAAATACAAAAATTAGCTGGGCGTGCTGGTGCATGCCTGTAATCCCAACTACTTGGGAGGCTGAGGCAGGAGAATTGTTTGAACCTGAGAGGCAGAGGTTGCAGTGAGCTGCGATCATGCCACTGCACTGCAGCCTGGGCGACAGAGCAAGACCTGTCTCAAAAAAAGGCTGGGAATTGGGGGCGGGAATCTGGACAGAGACAAGACACAGGGAGAATACAATGTGAAGGCAAGAGGCAGAGATGGGGAGCTTCTATAAGCCTAGGAACGCTAGATTGTCAACAACCACCAGAAGCCAGGGGACAGGCTTGGAACAGTCTCCCTTGCAGCCTCTGGAGGAACCAACCCTGCCGACACCTGGATCTGGAACTTCTGGCCTCCAGATCTATAAGACAATGAGTGTCTGTTGTTCCAGCCACCCGGTTGATGGTGCTTTGTTGTGGCAACCCCAGGAGACGAAGGCACTGGAGCTCCTCTAGAGGCTGATTGATTGCTCACTTTGGAGCTCAGCCTGCAGGCTGCCATCTCTCTGGGCATGACTCAGAGCCCCCCTCCATCAATCATGCCTTTGGACACCCAGTGTAACCACAGCCCCTGGCAAACAAAGACTCTCCTATCAGGCAAGATATTCCAAGGGCTTAGAGAGCACCTCCCAGAAACCATGGACGGAGACCAGACCTCTTTTTAGGCAAGGTTAAATTCTTTACTACACAAAGGGCCTGGAGAGGAGGTACAGTGCACCCGGGGTCACACAGCTGGTGGCCTGATTCCAAAGCCAATGTGCCTGCTGCCTTCAGTTTTTCTGAGCCTACCGCCTTGGTCAAGTTGCAGATGAAACAAGAATTTGGCCTGAATGGCATGGCTCCAGGTCCTCTAGTTGTACTTTTTTTTGTGGATTCAAACAGATTGTCCCTGACAGCTCAGGTGTAACCTGCCTCTCAGAGGAACACCCCTTAGGTGAACAAAGGTTGCCCTGAGAAGCCCCCTGTGATTTCCCCACAGCCAGGTATGAGATTCCCACTGTGCACCTGCCATCCCTTCCTATTGGAGTCAGGGAAAGATTTGCTAACTCTATCAGTAATCTATCACTGCATAACAAACTATGCCAAAACTTTGTGACTTAAACATCAAACCTTTATTATCTCAGAGTTTCTGTGGGTCAGGAATTGAGGAGTGGCTTATCTGGGTGGTTCTGGCTCAGGGTCAATCATGATGTTACATCCAAAATGTTAGCCAGGGCTGCAGTCTCATCTGATGGCTGGACTGGGGCTGGAGGCTCTGGGGCTGAGGTGGCTCCCTCGTGGTTGTTCGCTAGAGGCCTTGATTCCTCACCCACATGAGCTTCTCCACAGCTTGAGCATCCTTGTAACATGGTGACTGGCTTCCCCAAGAGCAAGTGTTCCAAGAGAGAGCAAAGAGGAAGTTGCAATGTCTTTTATAACCTCACTGTGGAAGTCACACACCATCATGTCTGTCCTATTGTTGGAAGCAAGTCACTAAGTCCACCCACACTCAAGGGCTTAGACTCCACCTCTCAGAGCCATGTTTTAGAACCCCCACACTGACCCTACAATGGTCACTTAGGAACATTGTCCTAATAGTGGTCAAGGAAGGCCCGAGAACAGTAGGAAAAATACCCCCCCCAACCCCTTATTACTCAGCTTCTCCCTTTGGTCAAGGACTCTGATACTTGAGCTAATTTATCCCAGCCTGGCATTGTTTGGGGCAAAACCAAAGTGATGGGGCATAGAGACAAGGATTGTAACACCTAGCTTAATGCTGCCTGAAGGGTTTTTGGTTGTGTTTAAAATTATTATTATTATTATTTTGAGACGGAGTTTCACTCTTGTTGCCCAGGCTGGAGTGTGATGGCACGATCTAGGCTCACTGCAACCTCTGCCTCCTGGGTTAAAGCTATTCTCCTGCCTCAGCCTCCCGAGTAGCTGGGATTACAGGCGCACACCACCATGCCCAGCTAACTTTTTTTGTAGTTTTAGTAGAGATGGGGTTTCTCCATGTTGGTCAGGCTGGTCTCAAACTCCCGACCTTAGGTGATCCGCCCACTTCGGCCTCCCAAAGTGCTGGGATTACAGGTGTGAGCCACCGTGCCTGGCCTTCTTTTTGTTTAGACAGAGTCTCACTCTGTCACTTAGGCTGGAGTGCAATGGTACGATCTCAGCTCACTTCAACCTCTGCCTCCCAGGTTCAAGCAATTCTCTTGCCTCAGCCTCCTGAGTAACTGAGATTACAGGTGTGTGCCACCACGCCCAGCTAATTTTTGTATTTTAGTAGAGACGGGGGTTTCACCATGTTGGCCAGGCTGGTCTTGAACTCCTGACCTCAAGTGATCTGCCCACCTCGGCCTCCCAAAGTGCTGGGATTACAGATGTAAACCACCATGCCCGGCCTTTTTTTTTTTTTTTTAGATGGATTCTTACTCTGTCACTTAGGCTGAAGTGCAATGGTGCAATCTCAACTCACTTCAACCTCTGCCTCCCAGGTTCAAGCGATTCTCCTGCCTCAGCCTCCCGAGTAGCTGGGATTACAGGCGCACAACACCATGCCCAGCTAATTTTTTTATTTTTATTTTTAGTAGAGACAGGGTTTCTCCGTGTTGGTCAGGCTGGTCTTGAACTCCTGACCTTAGGTGATCTGCCCGCCTTGGCCTCCCAAAGTGCTGGGATTATAGTTGTAAGCCACCGCACCTGGCCTTTTTTTTTTTTTTTTTTTTGATGGAGTCTCACTCTGTCACTTAGGTTAGAGTGCAATGGTGCGATCTCAGCTCACTTCAATCTCTGCCTCCCGGGTTCAAGTGATTCTCCTGCTTCAGCCTCCCGAGTAGCTGGGATTACAGGTGTGTGCTATCACGCCCAGCTAATTTTTGTATTTTAGTAGAGACGAGGTTTCACCATGTTGGCCAGGCTGGTCTTGAACTCCTTACCTCAAGTGATCTGCCCACCTCGGCCTCCCAAAGTGCTAGGATTATAGGCATGAGCCACCACCCAGCCCGCATTTAAAATTTAAAGCACTCCTACTTACTCTGTCTCGAGCATGTGCTGAGCTCAAGGGAAACACAGATGAATGAAGTAGAGACTGTCCTCCAGGTGTTCACAGCAAAGAGAGGTAGAAATAAAAACAAATCGTGTCATTCATTGATGAATGAGTAAACACAGACAGGCAGAAGAGGGAGAGGCCAGATCTGCTGGGACACCTTTCCCAAGGAAGAGCCCGTTGCACCAGGCTTTGAAGGATAAGCAGGAGCTTGTTACTCAGGCAGAGGAAGAAAGAGCATCCCAGGCCGGGGGAACAGCACATGCAAAGGCACAAAAGGGCCCCGGGAGCCCAGGGAGTCTGGGGAAGTGTGAGCGCTTTGCAGAGTAGGGGCTGGTGGCCAGAAATGGGGCTGCAGCTGGCTGGGCCACATGGTGAAGGCTGAAAACTGGACCTAGAGGCCAACTAGCCTGTGATCAGCATTTCCCAAAATCTGTTTCCCGACTCATGGTTCTGGGAGATGTGTTGGGGGCTCCTTTGACATTCCTGAGACTCAGGTTTTCATCTGTGATGCGGGGATAGCTGCGCCCCTTGCTGCGAGGCGTCAGGACTCAGGTGATGAAGGGGGGGTGGCACCCGCGGTTCCTGGCGGCCACTGATGCCTGTCTCTCTGTTGTGTGTGTACGTGCGTGTGTGCTCCACGCCTGGCTTCTCAGGCTTTAAAATGTGTGTCAGCAGCAGCAGCAGCAGCCACGAAGAGGCCCCCGTCCTGAACGACAAGCACCTGGATGTGCCCGACATCATCATCACGCCCCCCACCCCCACAGGCATGATGCTGCCGAGGGACTCGGGGAACACAGGTGAGGCCGTCTCCTCTGCCGCCAAGCAGGGTCGGGTCTGGGGGCCTGGTGGCCTGGTGGAGACAGCTCTCAGGGGCGTCCTTCTGGGCCACGGGGCCGAGCTTGCGTCCCCACCTCCCCCTGGGTTCATTAAGCATTTATGGTCAGACCTGTGTACACTGCACCGTGAGCCCCCTGCCACGGCGCCAGCCTCAGCACGACGCGGCGTGTTAAGTAATTAGTAGACAGCCTCTGCCAGCAGCCAGTACGATTGATGGATGGGGCCGGGCTGGCCTGCCACACTGTGGCTCCCGCCAGCCAAGGTAATTGATGGATGCTCCTTCCCCTGCCAGCGGGAGGACCGCTCCTCCGTCTTGTTGGCTGCTGCAGTTTGGCTGGACAGGACAGACTGGGAAACACAGCCCATGCCCAGGCTGGGGCCGGACCCTGGGCCTTCCAGATGCAGCTCACTGCTGGGAGCAGGGAGGAAATAGAGTTCTTCCCAGGGAGAGGGTGAGGAGGTGGGACACAGGCCCAAATCGGCTCCCCCACCTGCCCCTCGGTGATACCTCTGGTGCTGGTGGGACAAATTGTTCACGTATTCATCGAGCAAAGATTTATTGAGCTGGGCCTACACCAGGTGCTGAAGGCTGCTGCTATGAATAATAATGATATTGGGGATGGTCATGATAGGTTGCACTGTACTGAGTGTAATGAGTGGATTTTCTTATTTAGTTCTTACAGGAATTCTCAGAGTTAAGTACAGATTTCATCCCCATTTTATTATTTGTATTTATTTATTTTTTGAGATGGAGTTTTGCTCTGTTGCTCAGGCTGGAGTGCTGTGGTGCAATCTCGGCTAACTGCAACCTCCATCTCCCTTGTTCAAGTGATTCTTCTGCCTCAGCCTCCTGAATAGCTAGGATTACAGGTGCCCACCACCATGCCCAGCTAATTTTTGTATTTTAGTAGATATGGGGTTTCGTCGTGTTGGTCAGGCTGGTCTCAAACTCCTGACCTCAGGTGATCCGCCTGCCTGGGCCTCCCAAAGTGATGGGATTACAGGCATGAGCCACCGCACCCAGCCGCATCCCCATTTTAGAAATGGGTAATCTGAGGTTGAGAGAGGCTGAGACACTTGCCGTGCAGCTGGTCAGTGGTGCAGCGGGGAAGCAGCCCCAGGCTGTGTGATCTGCACTTCACACCATGGCCCCCAGGCCGGATGCCCTCCCCACAGGTGGCATCAGTTAGTTGACAGCCATTGTGACGTGGGTCTCGCTGGGCCCATGTAAGCGACATGGCACCCATGAGGCTGATGTAGGGTACGTGGAAGGCTGTCTGGGAGGGGGGATCTGTAGACCCTTCCAGATGTCCTGAGCTTGGGTCTCCGCTTGCCCAGCAGAGCAAGTGACTGGGAGAAAGCTGTCAGGCCCCTCTGGGTTGGACCAGTGCAGGTGCTGGGTGGAGCCATGGTGGGTGCAGTGGGGTGCCTTCCTCTGTGACCTTTCCAAGTGCCTGGCACCAGGCTAAATGCTTTTCACAAATCTCATTTAATTCTCATTCCAACCCTTATCTCTAGTTTAGAAATGGGGAAACAAACAGGTCCAGAGAGGGACAGTGCCTTGCCCAGGGACACACAGCAAGGTGGGAGAAGAGCTGGGCTCCTGCTGCAGTGCTCCTCCTGCACCCCAGTGCTGTCTAATCAGAGAGCCCAGTGTGGGCGGACAGAGGCCCAGGTCCTTAGCTCAGCTGTCACAGTCTCTTCCCTCTCTGAGCCTGTGTCCTCACCTATAAAATGGGATCATGCCACTTTGCCTGCTTCCAGGACCAGTGTGGGCAGAGGGGAGACACAGGGTTACTCTGCAGGGTCCGAGCCCTAGGGAGGTTCCTGAACCCTGGGAGGAGTTCCTCTGAAACTTAAGCAGCTCCGGGATCCGACTCACCCAGAAGGATCCAGCATCACTGGGCTGGGTCCCATCTCCGCCTCTGGCAGCACCAGAAAGCAAGGAATCCCAGAGGCCTCAGCCCTGCAGCTCCCAGGGAAGCGGGCCTGGGTGTGGTGGGGGCGGGGTGCATCCAGGTGTCACCATCCCCTCTTTCTCCTAGTCTGGTTGGATGAGACAGGGTCGTGCCCGGATGATGGAGAACTCGACCCAGAAGCCTGAGGAGGTGTCGTGGATTTGTCTGGTGGGCTCCTGCTGCGGGGTCCCAGCTTCAGGTGTCCGGGGGCGTGGCTGCCTGGAGCAGGTGTGCTGAATACCTTGGATGGGAACTGAGCGAATTTGGGTCTCCGCTGGGAGAGATGTGGCAGGACCAGCGAGGAATCCAGCCTGCCTGCTTCCGGAACAGTGTTTCCCGACCCTGCTGAGTGGACTGGACCTCTGACACCTCCAGGGTCTTGCTGACTCCAGCCTGGTGCAAGGGAGCTCCATGGTCCTGGCTGTTGGGGTCCCAGGGAGAGGCTCTCTTCAGGACAAACACACCTTCCCAGCCCCACGGGCTGTGCAAATACGTGCCCCTGCCATAAGCACAAACAAGAACTTCTTGCAGGTGGAGTGGCTGTTTTTTTTTTTTTTTTTTTTTTTTTTTTTGAGACGGAGTCTTGCTGTGTCGCCCAGGCTGGAGTGCAGTGGCCGGATCTCAGCTCATTGCAAGCTCCGCCTCCCGGGTTTTTACGCCATTCTCCTGCCTCAGCCTCCCGAGTAGCTGGGACTACAGGCGCCCACCACCTGGCCCGGCTAGTTTTTTGTATTTTTTAGTAGAGACGGGGTTTCACCGTGTTAGCCAGGATGGTCTCAAACTCCTGACGTCGTGATCCGCCCGTCTCGGCCTCCCAAAGTGCTGGGATTACAGGCTTGAGCCACCGCGCCCGGCAAGAGTGGCTGTTTTTTATAAGTTGTTTTACAGATGTGGGAACAGTCCAAAATGGGATTTATAATTTCTTTTTTTTGCATTATAAATAAAGATCCTCTGTAACAAATGGTGAATCCTTTTTTATTTTTTTTGAGACAGAGTCTCGCTCTTGTTTCCCAGGCTGGAGTGCAATGGCGCAATCTCAGCTCACTGCAGTGTCCGCCTCCCGGGTTCAAGCGATTCTCCTGCCTCAGACTCCTGAGTAGCTGGGATTACAGGCATGAGTCACCATGCCTGGCTAATTTTTGTATTTTTAGTAGAGACAGCGTTTCACTATGTTGGCCAGGCTAGTCTTGAACTCCTGACCTCAGGTGATCTACCCGCCTCAGCCTCCCAAAGTGCTGGGATTATAGGCGTGAGCCACCGCACCCAGCCACAAATGGTGAATCCTGCTTCTTGGGTCAGGAGGAGGCAATGGAGCATGCCAGGAATATAGTGGGCCCCACGGCCAGGGCCAGCTCTCTGGACGTGTCCTGCACACTGCCACAGGGCCCGTCTCAGAAGGCCCATGCTGGGTTCAACGTTCTGCTGTTGCACCTTGAAATTCTCAATCGGTGCCCAGCATGGTGGCCCATGCCTATAATCCCAGGGCTTTGGGAGGCCAGGGTGGGTGGATCACTTGAGCCCAGGAGTTCAAGACCAGCCTGGGCAACATAGAGCCCTATCTCTACTAAAAGTTTTAAAAATTAGCCAGGTGTAGTCGTGCACACCTGTACTCCCAGCTACTAGGGAGGCCAGGGTGGGAGGATCGCTTGAGCCCAGGACATTGAGGCTATACTGAACTACAGTGGTGCCATCGCACTCCAGCCTGGGCAACAGAGTGAGATTCTATTTCACTTGATACTAGGAGTTTGAGAGCAGCCTGGCCAACATGGCAAAACCTTGTCTCTACTAAAAATACAAAAATTAGCAGGGCATGGTGGCACATGCCTGTAATCTCTAGCTACTTGGGAGGCTGAGACATGAGAATCACTTGTACCCGAGAGGTGGAAGTTGCTGCGAGCTGAGATCATGCCACTGCACTCCAGCCTGAGTGACAGAATAAGACTCTATCTCAAAACAAAACAAAACAAAACAAAACAAACAAAACAAAACAAAATGGAAGGAAGGAGGGAGGGAAGGAAGGAAGGAAGGAAGGAAGGAAGGAAGGAAGGAAGAAAAAAAACAGAATGCCTGCTGATGCTTGATGCTTACCTTCTCCTACTTCTGTCCTATCCTCTGCTGCTTGCTTAATGTCTGAGCCCTCCACTGCCTGCTTAGCAGCCTCCAAAAATTCTCCATGATCCCTAAGAGGCCAAAGGCTTAGCCTTGCTCACCCTCCACTCCAATTAAGCTGAACTCCTTGATTTTCCTTGTACACATGCCTCTTGTTCTGGTTACCATTGCTGCACAACAAATATTTAGTGTGAAACAACAACCATCATCTGTTTTGCCCACAAATCTGCAATTTGGACAGGGCCTGAAGAGAGAGTTTGTCTGTTTCATGAGACACCAACTGAGGCATGTATGTCATCTGGGGCTAGAAGATCCACTTCCAAGATGGCACACCCACATGGGCAAGCACCTACCACGTGGCTGCCAAGTTGGTTCTGGGCTCTTGTTTTTCTCCACAAGAACCTCTCCCGGGGCGGCTTGGGCTTCCTCACAGCATGGCCCCTGACATCCAAGCAAGAGCATCTCCAGAAAATCAGGTGGAAGCCGCATCGCCTGTGATGGCCTACTCTCTGAAGTCACATCACATCACTTTGGCGGTCGTCACGGGCCTTCCTAGATTAAAAAGAAGGGAACATAGGCACCACCTCCTGATGGGAACAAAGTCAAAGGCATAAATAGAGCACAGGCTGAGTGCAGTGGCTTCTGCCTATAATCCCAGTGCTTTGGGAGGCCCAGGGAGGAGGATCATTTGAAGCCAGGAGTTCAAGACCAACCTGGGCAATGTAGTGAGACCCTGTCATTACAAAAATAAAAAATAAAAATAAACTGGGTGTGGCAGTGTAGACCCACTAGTTGGAGGCTGCAGTGAGCTGTGATCACACTGCTGCACTCCAGCCTGAGTGACGCAGCATTAAGACCCTGTGTCTAAAAAAGAAGGAGGGGGAGGAGGAGGAGGAGAGGAGGAGAAGGAGGAGGAGGAGGAGAAGGAGAAGGAGGAAAAAGAAGGAGAAGGAGGAAGAAGAAAGAGAAAGAAGAAGAAGAAAGAAGAAGAAAATGTGGATGGGAGATGTTGTGGCCCCATTTGGAAACTACAACCTGCCACCCGGTTCAGGCAGTTCTCCCTGGAACGCCTTTGCTCCCAACCCCAGTCTCTCTGCAAGGTCCAGTTCCATGGAAGCCTGGTGCCCCTCCATGCCAGGCCCTGCCAGCAGGAAGCTTTGCTGTCCTCCAGCTCCCACAGCACGTGTTCCTTCCCTCCCCTGTGAGCGGGGTGCCCTTCTGTTGTTTCACAGTCACTGATGTGCGGGGCATCACAGGAAGAGGTCCCTTGTCGCTGGGGCTCACAGCCTAAGGCTGATCAGCTCACCTACACCCCAGGAACCCCCGCCACTGTCTCTAATAAATAAATTTCCTAAAGGTAGTGACTTAGTCTCACACATCAGTATATTCCCAGCACCTCTATCATAGGCGCTACCGTATTTATTTATTTATTTAGTTTTTGGTTGTTTTTTTTTTTTTTTTTTTGAGACAGAGTCTTGCTCTGTTGCCCAGGCTAGAGTGCAATGGCACGATCTCGGCTCACTGCAACCTCCGCCTCCTGGGTTCAAGCGATTCTCATGTCTCAGCCTCCCAAGTAGCTGGGATTACAGGCGCCCGCCGCCGCGCCTGGCTAATTTTTGTATTTTTAGTAGGGACAGGTTTTTGCCATATTGGTCATGTTGGTCTCAAACTCCTGACCTCAGGTGATCCGCCCGCCTCTGCCTACCAAAGTGCTGGGATTACAGGCGTGAGCCACCGCACCCGGCCTTGTTTAGTTTTTTAGAGACAAAGTCTTGCGCTGTCACCCAGGCTAAAGTGCAATAGCGTGATGGAACGCTGGGGCTCAAGCAATGATCCTGCCTGAGCTCTGGGATTACAGGTGTGCACCACTGTGCCCGGCCCTTATTTAGCATTCATATTGCCTGCTATGTACCAGGACTGTACTTAACACTTGACAGATATTTTAACTCACATAATTCTCATGGAAACCCTGAGAGATAGTGTATTAGTCAGTTTTCTTTTTGCTGTGATGTTGCTGTGTAACAACCACCCCCTCCGCCCCCAAACTCAGTGGCTTAGAACAGCAAGCACTGATTCCTCACTCACGGGTCTGTGGGTTGGCCGTGGCCTTGCCGATTGGCTGCGAGGAGCTGGGCTTTATCAGCTGCAGTTGGACTCTGATTTCCCCAAGTGTCCTGTCATTTAGGCACCAACCAGAGTGTGCTCATTCACTCAGTGGGTGGCAGAGGCACAGAGCACAGGCAGAGTCAATGCATTTGCAGCTTCTGCTTGCGACACGTGCCCACATTCCCTCAGCCAAGCAAGTCACATGGCCAAGCCCAACACTGTGAGCTGGGAAGTTGCACGGCACAAGGAAGGGACAGACAATTCTCCTAAAGACGGGGAAAGGTGAGTCGGAAACAATAACCTAATCTCTCGCAGGTCAGTGCTCTTTATTACCCGCATTTTACAGATGGGGGATGGGAGGCACCTAGAGGTTAAATCATTTGCCCAAGGTCATCCGAGGTAAGTAAGTGGCAGAGGTGGGAATCAAACCCAGAGCCTGTGGTCTTACCACCCAAGGGATCTGCTTCTCTTGCGCTTGTTGATTGGCCAGGCAAATAGTCGCCCCCTTCCTTCTGGCTTCTCAGAGCCCCTTCTGTCCACCTAGAAGCCAGACTGGACCCTCTGCCCCTCCTCTTGAATGCAGGGGGCGCTGGGTCTCAGGGTTGCAGGAAACCTCATGCCTCCCTGAATACTCCTCAGTGGTCTGCCATGGCTGGTCATCCACTGGCTTCCCCTAGGATTCCAGGGCCCACAGCAACCTGGCTGAGGGCTCTGAGCTGGGGACACCGGAGGGAGGGCCGGCTAGAGGCTGCAAGGCCCCAGGACTCTGGGTGTGGCTTTCTCTCAGGGGCCTGGGCTGAGTTCCCTTATCCCCTAGAGGAACTGGGGCCCAAGGCATGCATAGCAATCCCCAGCTTTGGGCCTGGTGTGACCAGAGGCCTCAACCCTGGTCCGCATCCCCAGCGAGGTCAGCGTTTTGGAGGTGTTGCCCCACGATCATGTCTGCTGAGTAAGGGCAGAGAGACCCTTCCTGGTGACAGCTGCCCCCCCACACTGCAGTCAACCCCATGGCGTACCCACTGCACAGCTCCTCTGCCCCTCGTATGCTTCCCGTAAGCTCTGCCTCCCCTAGGAAGGGAGGGGCACGACGGAGGGGGGCCTGCTCCGCGCAAGCTCTCACATAGGAAGGCATGGGAGCTGGGGGAAGGGCACCCACTGCAGCCCTGGCACCAGGGGGTGGGTAGGAGCAAGGGCTTTGGTGTCAGCCAGCTCCCCGTTGTGCTGTGTGATCCTGGAAAGTCACTCAACCTCTCTGAGCCTTTTCTTCACCTGTACAGTGGGGATAGTAACTACCTACCTTATGGAAGCATATGAGGATTGCATGAAGTCATCCACGCAGCCCATCCACCGCCACGTGGAGTTTGGCACAGAGCAAACAGTTTCTAAATGGAAGTCATCATGATCAGGTGGGCTGTCAACCTCTCTGAGCCTCAGTTTGCTCTTCTAGGGAATGGGGACAATGCAATGGGAACCTGAGGATTGTGTGAAATTGCACAAATGCATGAATGTGGGCTGGGGTAGTAAGAGGGAGGGCCCCGCAGCAGCCCACCTAGGGTCCTATCTAGTGGATGCTCCTGGTGCCCACCCATTGCTGTGACACCAGCAGCCCACTGCAAGCATCCTCTTCCTTTCCAAGGTTCTCTCTGGTGCATGAATAGGTGTGGCAGGGGTGGGGGCTCCTGAAGACCAACCAGGGGTACTAGGGACCTTAGACTCTCGGGAGCAGCCTGCACCCGATACCAGGAGGGGTCAATAGATAAATACCCCTGCCTCCTTGCCCTTAGTGGTGGTGTGGTGGGCAAGTCGGAGGAACTGTTCTTCTCAAACTGTCACGTGCTCTCAGTGGAGCTCTGCTTCAAAGGCAGAGGTCTGGGCTGGGGTCTGTGATTGTGCATCTCCAACCAGCTCCTGGGGGGCTGGCTCATGTCGATGGTCCACAGGCCACACTTTCAGTAGCAAGGCTTCATAGCTGCCCAGAGGTTCCCAGTGGAACTGAGCCCTGGCTGCCGGCCATAGAAACCTGCTCGCTAACCTGAACCAGCTCCTGAAGTTCCCCGTCTCAACCTCTCTTCTTGGGAATGCCTTCCAAATAAACCACTTCCACTTGGATCCTGTTTGGGGGCCCCAACCTCAGAGGACGCTGCCGCACTCCACCTATCAGCTGGATGGCCTCGAGCAAGTCACTTGGCCCCTGTGAGCCTCAGTTTCCTTAATCTTCAAATGGAGACAGTAACCAGGAGGTGTAGAAGACAGCATGAATGAACACGTGCAAGGAACCGGAAATGCTAGCACCAGTGCCAAGGTTTGCACAGCTGTGCTGGAGAAGAGCAAGGCTGATCCCCGTTGCCACAGCATTGCTGGGGTGTTGGGTTCTCAGTGAACCGGACGCTTCATCAAAGACTGGGGATGCTCTGTAGGTGGGGGTAGGTGCCTCTTTGGAGCAAATCCAGAGTGAGGATTTATGTTGAACCCAAAACATCACTCCCCTTTTCTTATTTTCTGTCTGTTCTTCTTTAAATACGTCCTGGGGGAATGGTTCCTAATGTCTGCAGTTTATTTTTCATTTATTTTTTAATGCCAAAGCCAAGCATACTGATTAAAACCAACAATAAAAAAGCTTCGTGAATGGCTCCCCCAAAGTGTGTGTTGGGGGAACACGGGGCCACAGTAAATGGCAAATGAAGAGGAAATAGATAGAAATTAACGGCGCCGGCTGCCGGCAAAGCCCGTTAACCCTAACCCTGGTGTGTCCGGGGAATGTTCCCAGGTTCCAAGAGGCCAGGGAACGTTCTGGTCTTGAAACTTGGGATTCATGTTGTATTCCTCCAGGAAGGGAGGTTGGGAGGGAGAAAAGTGTGAAAACAGATGGAAATGTAATTTTTTAATGACAGCAGCAGATGGCAAAAAGACACAAGAGTGTATTCACACCATGTCGGAGCCATTTGAGAACGCCTGGCCCAGCCGTAATGTGCGCGGCGGGCTGTCACAATGGCTCCCCGGCCAAACCCAGGAGCCGGCACGCTGCAGGCAGGAACATGCTGGTCCCCCAGGGAGGTGTGGGCCACGCTGCCAGGCTGTGCAGAGCTACAGGTAGATGGGGAAATACCTGTGGCCACCTGGGTTGGATCTGGAAGCTTCCCTGTGCCTGGCTCTTCTGGGCAGAGTATAGATGGGCTCTAGATTCAGACCCCACTCTTGGTGCCTTGGCTGCTCGGCTCGCCTGCCTCCAGGTGAGTCTCCTGATGCTATACTGCATCCTACCGTTGACTTCATGCACCCTAAATTCCCTTCTAAAGTGTATATCTAGGCTGGTCATGGTGGTGTGCACCTGTAATCTCATTGTTTTGGGAGGCTGAGGCAGGAGGATGGCCTGAGTTTGAGGTTGCAGTGAGCTATTATCATGCCACTACATTCCAGCCTGGGGAACAGAGCAAGACCTGGTCTCTAAAATAAATAGGCTGGGTGTGGTGGCTCACACCTATAATCCCAGCACTTTGGGAGGCTGAGGCGGAAGGATTCCTTGAGCCCAGGAGTTTGAGACTAGCCTGGGGAACAAAATGAGACCTTGTCTCTACAAAAAATAAAAAAATTAGCTGGGTATGCTGGTGCATGCCTGTGGTCTCAGCTATACAGAAGGCTGAGGCAGGAGGATCACTTGAGCCCAAGAGGTCAAGGCTGTAGTGAGCTGTGATTGCACCACTACACTCCGGCCTTGGTGGCAGAGTGAAACCTGTCTCAAAAATATTAATAAAATAAATAAAATGCAGCTCTGTCATGTCACCCCAGTGTCTCCTCTAATGAGATGGCTTGCCTTAAAGGGCTTCCCATTTGCCTTCAGGATCAAGTCCAAGTTCTTCAAAGTAGCTCACAAGGGCAGGCCCCTTCAGGCTGGCCCCCACCCATCTTTCTGGCTTCACCGCTGGCCCCTGCCCTGGTGGGATGCTGCACTCCGTGGGAGAGGAACGCCTGGCAGGAATGTTGAGAGACAAGCCCTGCTGCTGCCTAGAGGACAAGCCACTATCTATTGAGCAAGGCTGTGCCAGACACCACTGAGGACTTTACCTGCATCAGTCCCTTTAAGCCTTGCAACAGCTCCGGGAAAAGGTGATGTTCAAAATCAGCCTCAGGTGAAGTGGTAGGGGCCCAGTCCATCAGACCCACTGCTGCTGGCCAGAAACACTGGGCCATGAGCACCAGGTGGAATTGGCCCTGCAGGAGGTCACGTGGTTGCCCCCCTCGCAGACCAAGGTGTGCTGCATGCCCACGTCTCACAGCAGGAGTCGCAGAGGTGTCTACAGCACCCAGAGCACAGTGGGACGCCTCGCTTGTGAAGTCATCCTTTCCTATTCTCAGGTCCTGCTCTGTGCCATATCCCTGGCTTGTTTCAGTGGAGGCAGGGCAGGAAGAGTTACCCCCGAGAGGTGTTTTCCATTCTGTGTGTCTTTTTGGTTGTGCCACTGTTTTTCTAGCTCCCTCCTCAGCTCAGTGGCAAACACCACCAGCTGCTAGCTACTGCTTTCCCCTAGGCTCCCCGCAGGAGACCCCAGGAGACAGGCTGGGCTCACTTTATGCCACAGCAGTGGCTCCTTACCTTAGCTGAGGAGTCTGGAAAATTCTGTTGTCCTGGCCCTACCCCTAGAGGTGCCGATTTCTTTCGTCCAGGAGGAGGCCTGGTCATGGGGCAGGTGGTTCTACTGCAGAGGGGGCTGGGAGTTTGAGGAGCCTCTCCCCCATCTCATGTCTTCACTGTAACTCATCATTTTCCTAGGCCGCTGGTCTCCTCACCGTAAGAGGGTGAATTAAGGGTCGAATTAACACACTCTGTGCAGGTGACCCACAGGTGCTCAGCCCCAGAATGACCTGTGCAGGTGCATCAGTGGGCAGGTCTCACCCCAAGTGCTGCCAGCCCAAAAGTCAGACACGTGTGAGTGGCCCACAGAGCACCCGGTCTCCTTGCAGGCACTCAGTCTCAGGGGCCACCTTGCAAGCACTGTTTCCCACATGCTGGGCAACGCATCCCATCATTGCTGAAACATGACTGCTTTAAAATAGCACAACCAAGTCTCATTTTTGGAGGACCATTTGGCCTGTCTAAATTCTAATGTCACCAGAAGATACTGTTGCCAATGATCCCGAAATAGGTTCACAGATTCCACGGTGTTATAGTTTTAAGGCTGGGTGTGGTGGCTTACGCCTGTACCTAGCACTTTGGGAGCCCAAGGTGGGAGGATCACTTGAAGTCAGGAGTTCAAGACCAGCCTGGACAACACAATGAGACCCCCATCTCTACACCAAATACAAAAATTAGCCTGGCATCGAGACACATGCCTGTAGTCCCAGCTACTCATGAGGCCAAGGGAGGAGAATCACTTGAGCCCACGAGACTGAGGCTGCAATGAGCTGGAATCATGCCACTGTACCCCAGTCTGGGTAACAGAGCGAGACTCCATCTCAAAAAGCAAAAACCACCCACAATAAATAAAATAAGTTTATTTATATTATCTTTTTTTTTGTTTGTTTGTTTTGGGTTTTTTTTGAGACGGAGTCTTGCTCTGTCACCCGGGCTGGAGTGCTGTGGCACAATCTTGGCTCACTACAAGCTCTGGTTCCCGGATTCACACCATTCTCCTGCCTCAGCCTCCCAAGAAGCTGGGACTACAGGCGCCCGCCACCACGCCCGGCTAATTTTTTGTTATTTTTTAGTAGAGACGGGGTTTCACCATGTTAGCCAGGATGGTCTCGATCTCCTGACCTCGTGATCCACCCGCCTTGGCCTCCCAAAGTGCTGGGATTACAGGTGTGAGCTACCGCGCCCGGCCTATATTATCTTATATTTATTTGTTTTTTTGAGATGGAGTCTCGCTCTGTCTCCCAGGCCTGAGTGCAGTGGTGCGATCTTGGCTCTCTGCAACCTCCACCTCCCAGGTTCAAGTGATTTTCCTGCCTCAGCCTCCCAAGTAAGTGGGATTACAGGCACTGGCCATCATGCCCAGCTAATTTTGTGTTTTTAGTAGAGATGGGGTTTCACCATGTTGGCCAGGCTGGTCTCGAACTCCTGACCTCAAGTGATCCGCCCGCCTCAGCCTTCCAAAGTGCTGGGATTACAGGCGTGCGCCATTGCACCCAGGCACTCTTATGTTTATTGCAGCACTATTCACAATAGTCAAGATATGGAATCAACCTAAATGACCATCAACGGATGAATGGATTAAAAATGGGGTACAGACGGGGCGTGGTGGCTCATGCCTGTAATCCCAGCACTTTGGGAGGCGAGACAGGTGGATCACCTGAGGTCAGGAGTTCGAGACCAGCCAGGGCAACATGGTGAAACCCGTCTCCACTAAAAATACAAAAAAAAAAAAAAAAAAAAGATGGGTGTGGTGGCACATGCCTGTAAACCCAGCTACTTGGGAGGCTGAGGCAGGAGAATCACTTAAACCCAGGAAGTGGAGGTTGCAGTGAACTGAGATCAAGCCATTGCACCCCAGCCTGGGCAACAAGAATGAAACTCCATCTCAAAAAAAAAAAAGGGCCGGGCGCGGTGGCTCAAGCCTGTAATCCCAGCACTTTGGGAGGCCGAGACGGGCGGATCACGAGGTCAGGAGATCGAGACCATCCTGGCTAACACCGTGAAACCCCGTCTCTACTAAAAAATACAAAAAACTAGCCGGGCGAGGTGGCGGGCGCCTGTAGTCCCAGCTACTCGGGAGGCTGAGGCAGGAGAATGGTGTGAACCCAGAAGGTGGAGCTTGCAGTGAGCCAAGATCCTGCCACTGCACTCCAGCCTGGGAGACAGAGCGAGACTCTGTCTCAAAATAAAATAAAATAAAATAAAATAAAATAATTAATTAATTAAAAAAGAAACAAAACAGCTTTATTGAGGCATAATTCACATACTATAAAATTCCCCCTTTTAAAGTGTACAATTCAGTGGTTTTTAGTATATTTACAGATTTTGCAACGATCACCACTATCTAATTCCAGAACATTTCTGTCACCCCAGAAAGAAACCTTGTACCCCTAACTCCTCATTCTCCCTCCTCCAGCCCCTGGCAACCACTAATTCACTTTCTGTTTCTATGGATCTACCTATTTTGGACATTTCATAGGAATGGAATCATATAATATGTGGACTTTTGTGTCTGACTTATTTCACTTAGCATAACGTTTTTTTTGTTTGAGACTGAGTCTCGCTCTGTCAACCAAGCTGGAGTACAGTAGTGCAATCATGGTTCACTGCAGCCTCCACTTCCCAGGCTGAAGCAATCCTTTCACCTCAGCCTCCTTAGTAGCTGGGACTACAGGTGTGTGTCTGTGTCAGTGTGCTGGACTTTTTTTTTTCTTTTGAGACAGAGTGCTGGAGTGCAGTGGCATAATCTTGGCTCACTGAAACCTCCACCTCCTAGGTTCAAGTGATTCTCCTGCCTCAGCCTCCCGAGTAGCTAGGACTACAGGTGTGTGCCACCACACCTGGCTAATTTTTGTATTTTAGTAGAGACAGGGTTTCACCATATTGGCCAGGTTGGTCTTGAACTCCTGACCTCGTGATCCTCCCGTCTTGGCCTTCCAAAGTGCAGGAATTATAGGCATGAGCCACCACGTCCCGCCTTTTTTTTTTTTTTTTTTTTTTAAATATGGAGATGGTATCTCACTATGTTGCCTAGGCTGGTTTCAAACTCCTGGGCTCAAGTGATCCTCCCATCTCAGCCTCCCAAAGTGCTGGGATTACAGGTGTGAGCCACCGCTGGTATCAAGTTTTTGAGGTTCATCCACATTGTAGTGTGTACCAGGACTTCGTTATGATTTGCAGCCGATTACTACTCCAGCGTATGAATAGGCACCATTTTGTTTATCCAGACATCAGTGGGCGGCCACTGGGCTGTTCACACATTTTGACTACTATGAATCATGCTACTATGAAGGGAAAGACACAAGTCCACCAAGTGATTCTCACGCACTCAGGCTTGAGGCATCAGGAGAGCACCCTCTTGCAATCTGTAAAGCTGCACACTTTCCCATCCTGTTCTTTCCAAAGCCCGGCGAGGCTAGCGGCAGCCCTGGCCCCATTTTACAGATAAGGACACCGAGGCTCTGTGCTGTGGACAACCAGGCTCCGGTCGCCCTCCTACCCACCCCACAGCAGCCTCTCTGAACCTCGGCTTTCTCATCTTTTCCTCTGCTCTTTTATAGGCTGGACAAATTAGGAAGTAAACCCTCGTCAGCTTTGGAACACAAATATTTGCCAGTGAAGAAAACATTCCCCATCAATCAAAACCGGGACAGGCTGGTACATATGTCTGCAGCCACCTCAGGGAGCTTCTGTTTTAGGAGGGGCCAGGTGGCCCACAGCTCCCCCTCCTCCCTGAACACTGCAGGCTCCTTCTCTTCCTACTTCATTTTGAAGATGCAGAGACAGGGGTTCCGAGTGGTCACTTGCCCTTGGTCACACAGCATCCAGAGTGACCTTTTATTTCTTCTCTTCAAGCATATTTGTCTTTTCTCTTTTGTTTTTATTTTTATTTATTTTAATAGAGATGGGGTCTTGGCATGTTGCCCAGGCTGATCTCAAACTCCTGGCCTCAAGTGATCCTTCTGCCTCTGCCTCCCAAAGTGCTGGGATGACAGGCGTGCCTGGCCAAGAGGATGTGTCTTCACACATGAAGGTAACTCAGTGAGAACTCCAGGTCTGTAAAGGACAACTGCCAAGGCAGATACACAACAGACATAGCTTTGTGAGCAGCCCTGTGAGCTTTAGGGCTTTATTTCACCTTCCTGGGGCTTCAGGGAGGTCGGAGAGGAGAGTACCTGGTTAGCTGGGGGCGGGGGGCGGGGGGCGGGGCGGCTTTCCTGCTGGAATTCCAAACCCTGGAATCCTCGTGTCTCCTGTGACTTTTCTCGGGGCCTAATCATCAGGGTTTTAAATTCGACTGCAGTCGTAGAATAGCGCTTCACCTCCAGGAAGCTTTTCCGGCCATGACCACCCCATCAAAATCACCTGGCCCTGGATGAAATTCAGCTTTGTCTTCCCCGCGACTCCTGAATCCCAACTCCCAGGAGCGTGCACACAAACAATGGGCACCTGCGAGGGGATTCTGACACAGGTGAGCTCCAGACACTGCTCTGGCTTCACCTGCGCCCACTGTGCAGGGGCAGCCGGTCCAGCGAGCAGGTATTTGCTCAGGTGGTACAAACCTACCGCTCCTGTCTCATCTGGGACTCCTGCCGAAGTGCACATTCTGAGCCCCTGCTCCAAGTGTCCATATTGGAAGCTGTGGGATGGGATGTAGGAATCTGCATTTTTATAGATTTTTAAAACAATGTGTGCAGAGAGGGCAGAAGATTGTGAAATTAATGGAAACAAGGTCTTCCCTGATCGCTCTGTCAGCCCAGGTGATGCCTAGTCCCGGGCCCGGTGCTGAGTTTGGGCCAATAAATGCCTGTACTCCTGGTCTGGCACGATGGCTCACACCTGTAATCCAGCACTTTGGGAGGTCGAGGTGGGAGGATCGCTTGAGGCCAGATGTTCAAGCCCAGCCTGAGCAACATAGCGAGAGTCCCAAATCCACGAAAAGTTGTTTAAAAATTAAAATAAAATAAATGCTTTCACTCTTGGCCCCATGCGGAACGCCGGCGTAGAAGCGGCCCGGAACCCCACCCCTGGCTCTTGACTACGGCTGTTTGCGGCGCGCGCCGGGGGCAGGCGAAGGGACACCAAAGCTGGCACCCGCCGCAGGAGGTCCTGACGGCGCCAGGTGCTCGCCCACGGGCGGGGCGGAGCCGGGGTGGGGGCGGGGCCAGTCCGCGGGCCGGGGCGGGGCCGGCGCTCAGCCTCCCTTGGCCTTGCCAGTCCGCGGGCTCTTTGCAACCGCGGTCTCCGCCCCCGCCGCCCGCAGAGGGCGCCTATAGGCTGTTTACCGCGTTCCTATAGGCTGGCGCAGGCCGTCTTCCGGCCGGGGCGGGCTCCCGCCGTGGCGGGAAAACGGCGGCCGCGGCGTCTCCTCCCGGACGTTGAGGAGCCCGAGGAGACCGTGAGGCTCTGGCCTGCCGCTCGCGCCGCCATGGACGCTGCCGAGGTCGAGTTCCTCGCCGAGAAGGAGGTGGTTACCATTATCCCCAACTTCAGTCTGGACAAGATCTACCTCATCGGGGTGAGGCCCGGGCCGGCCGTGGGGCGCAGGGCGGGCGCCGAGGGGAGGGGAGGCCGGGCTGGGCGCGTCCGGGGCTCCCGCGTGGCCTTCAGAGCCGGGGTCGCGGGCTCGCCCTGCTCCCGCAGCTGCGGAGGCCACCACTCCGCGCTTGACTCGCCCACCGCAGTTCCCGCTTCTCGGATTGAGGAAAGCGAGGCTGCTCTCGTTTGCCAGTGGCCCCGAACGCCCGGGTTTACAGGGTTTTTTTGGTTTGTTTTTTGGTTTTTGAGACGGTCTCGCTCTGTCTCCAGGCTGGAGTGCGGTGGCGCGATCTCGGCTCACTGCAGCCTCCGCCTCCCGGGTTCAAGCGATTCCCCTGCCTCAGCCTCCCAAGTAGCTGGGACTACAGGCGCCCGCCACCACGCCCGGCTGATTTTTGTAGTTTTGGTAGAGACGGGTTTCACCATGTTTGGCCAGGCTGGTCTCGAACTCCTGACCTCATGAGCCACCCGCCTCGGTCTTCCAAAGTGCTGGGATGACAGGCGTGAGCCACTGCGCCCGGCTTATTTGTTTATTTGGTAGAGATGGGGCTGGCCTCGAACTCCTGGACTCCCGCAGGCGATCCTGCCACCTCGGCCTTCCAAAGTGCTGGGATTATGGGCAGGAGTCGGCTTTACCTCTGTTTGTTTGTTTGTTTTTGTCTTTATTTTTGAGATGGAGTTTCGCTCTATCGCCCAGGCTGGAGTGCAGTGGCGCCATCTCGGCTCACTGCAGCCTCCGCCTCTCGGGTTCAGGTGATTCTCCTGCCTCAGCCTCCTGAGTAGCTGGGATTGTGAGCCACCGCGCCCGCCCGGCTTTGCGTTTTTAGTGTAAGGGAGGCACCTTGGCGCTGGGAGTCCTGGAGAAGGAGGGCGGACTCTGTACCTGCCCAGACCCACCTCCCCGCACCCCAGGACCCCAACATTGGGTGTGTGAAACCTGTTCTGGCGTTGGAGGGTGCAGGCGGGAGAGGGAGCACCCCCGACCCACTCCGCGGGGGATTTACATCCCCCTCCGTGGAAAGGCCGGAAGGACTGCGCTCCACGCTCGCAGGTGTCTTGGAGCCGCTTAGGAGGTGCTTTGTTCTGAGTCTGATAACAGTTGGGTTTTTATTATTTGCATTTGGACTTCAGCCTCTGCCATGCCTTGCCTCTTATTTGATAGCAGTGACGCACAGTAATGCTTTTTTTGTTCCTTTTTAATCTTACGGGGAATTGTTTTACTTTTGTCAGGGGGACCTGGGGCCTTTTAACCCTGGTTTACCAGTGGAAGTGCCCCTGTGGCTGGCAATTAACCTGAAACAAAGACAGAAATGTCGCCTGCTCCCTCCAGAGTGGATGGACGTAGGTAAGGATGCAGTGGAGACTGGCTGACGAGTGGGTGGGGCTGGGCTTGGGATGATACCCTCTCCCAAGGGGTGGAGGCATGGGGCCTCCTTCCTGATTAGGTGCGTGCTCCCTCTGTTCTATTATCCACTGATCAGCTGAAAGGAATACTTCCCGATTCACCTCTCAGCAGAGTCTGCTAACCAGAGTTACTAATGTCATGTTAGCTTTTGGTGTATGTGAAAATTGTAGTTTATTTTTTGAGACGGGTCTGACTCCATCACCCAGGCTGGAGAGCAATGGTGCAATCTTGACTCACTGCAGCCTTCACCTCCTGGGTTCAAGTGATCCTCCTGCCTCAGCCTCCCAAGTAGCTGGGACCACTGGCGTGTGCCACCACACCCTGCTAATTTTTTCGTTTTTGTAGAAATGGGGTCTTGCCATGTTGCCCAGGCTGGTCTCAAACTCTTGGGGTCAAGTGATCTGGCCACCTTGGCAGATCTGCTGGGATTACATGTGTGAGCCACTGTGCCCAGCCTATATTTTAATGTAAGATATTTCAATTTGCTTTAAAATAAATATATGACCTTAAAGAAGCATTTGTTTTAAATTTTTAAAAGTTAAGTATAGATTAGCATGTTGAGAAGCAGTTATACAGAATGCATGAAAATAATATATCACAAAAGGGTTGAATATTATTCAACTATAAAAAGGAATGGAATTCTGATACATGCTACTGCGCGAATGAACCTGAAACATCTTAAACATCTTGCTGAATGAAAGAAACCAGGCACAAAAGACCACACACTGTATCATTCCATTTCTATCAACTGTCTAGAATAGGCAAATCAATAGAGACAATAGATTACTAGTTGCTTAAGTACGGAGTCTTGCTTTGGGTGATGGAGGGATTGTGGAGTTTCTTTTTGGCATGATGAAAATTGGGATTGATTGAGGTAATGGTTGCCCAAGTCTAAATATACTAAACACCATTGACTTGTACACTTTGTTTTTAATAGCCCGCAAGTGCTACTAAAACGTGTGTGTGTGTGTGTGTGTGTATATATATATATTTATTTATATATTTTTTAGTGGAGATGGGGTCTTGCTATGTTACCCAGGCTGGTCTCAAACTCCTGGACTCAAGTGATCCTCTCAGAGTGCTGGGATTACAGATGTGAGTTGTTGCCCTTGGCCAGAAGGCATTTTTAGCAGAGAGACCCACCAGGCCTGGCTGCATTAGTGCAGCATCCTCTCCCGGCCCCTTGTTTAAAATCAGTATCTGGCAATTTTGTTCCATCCACACCTGAGGTGATACATGGCAAGGGCCTGTTTTATCGCAGGCTAGAGTCAGAAGGTGTGGAGAGTTCACCTTGAGCTTTTTGCCTGGGCTGGAGCCGTATTGTGGGAACAGTGAGGCACCAGTCTATAGACCCTACCCAACAACCTGCTGCCTCCTGACTTCTGCACCACAGATAAGTCGTGCCTGTTCTGGACGGGGCACAGTGACTCACGCCTGTAATCCTAGCACTTTGGGAGGCCGAGATGGGCGGATCACCTGAGATCAGGAGTTCAAGACCAGCCTGGCCAACATCGCGTAACCCCGTCTCTACAAAAAAATACAAAAATTGGCTGGGCATGGTAGTGGGCACCTTTAATTCCAGCTACTTGGGAGGCTGAGACAGGGAGAATTGCTTGAACCGGGGAGGCGGAAGTTGTAGTGAGCCGAGATCATGCCACCGCACTCCAGCCTGGGAGACACAGACTCCGTCTCAGGAAGTTATTAAAAAAAAAAAAAAAAAAAAAGTTCTGCCTGTTCTGGGACTTCATTTAAATGGAATAATCTAGTATGTCATTTTTTTTGTTTATGACTTCTGTTATCTAACATTGTTTTTGAGATTCACCTGTTTATGTTCTCGACACTGGGACACAGAGCTCAGCTCCCGACCCCTTTCTCCACTACCTAAACTCATATCCACACTACCTATTTAGTTCTTCCATTGCTGGATACTCTCCATACTATATATTTGTTCACCGATTCTTCTGTTGGTAGATATTTGGGATTCCCATTTTTGGCTTCTAAAAAACATTGAGAGACAGGGTTTCTCTGTTGCCCAGGCTGGATTGCAGTGGTTATTCAGGTGTGATCATAGTGCATTGCAGCCTCCAACTCCTGGGCTCAAGTGATCCTCCCATCTCAGCCTCTCTAGTAGCTGGGACTACTGGTGTGCACCAATGTGCCCAGGTCATTTCTGGCTTTTGAGACAGAGTCTCGCTCTGATGTCTAGGCTGGAGTGCAGTGACTAGATCATGGCTCACTGCAGCCTCCACCTCCTGGGCTCAAGCGATCCTCCCGCTTCTGCTTCTTGAGTAGCTGGGACTACAGGTGTATACCATCACACTCAGCTAATTTTTATAGAGACAGGGTCTCACTTTGTTGCTCAGACTGGTTTTGATCTCCTGGGCTCCCACCTCGGTCTCCCAAAGTGCTGGGATTACAAGTGTGAGCCAGTGTGCCTGGCTCATTTTGGCCTTTAATAAGGCTTTTGTGAATATTCTTGTCCAAGTCTTTTCATGGATATGTTATTTTCTCTTGGGTAAATAAACACCTAGAATGATGGACTTGCTGGATCTTAGGGATAATGCTTAACTTTGTAAGTATGGCCACCTGGTTCTTCAAAGCTGCTGAGCCTTTATCCTATAAGAAATATGAGTTCCCATTGTTCCATGTCCTGGCCAAAAATTTTGATTGTATCTTTATTTGCTAGAAAGGTGGACCAGAGGTGTTTCATAAGCTGATTCAGATGTTAATAAAAGGATCACTCTTCTGTGTAGAGAAGGTCCGTGTGATAGGAGCAGAGCAGGGAATGAATCCAGGCAAGCACTGAGGGTGGCCTCTAGCTGATGGAGGTAGGAGATGTGGTGGGCGTCTAGGTGTGTTTTGAAGGAAGCAGCAGCAGGATTGGCTGAAGGACTGGCCATGGGGTGTGAGGGAGAAGAGTGAAAGCTGACAGCCAGGCTGTTGGCTGGAGGCCCAGAAGGAGAGGGAGTTGCTGTCTCCTGAGGTGGGAGGCTGCAGGAGCAGGCTGTGGGCTGCAGTGGGTATCAGGAGTTGGGGTTTGAACTGTTGTGCTTTCTGGATATCCAGGGGGAAGTTACAGCAGCAATGAGATTATTGAGTCAGGAGTTAGGGCTCAGGGGCTGATGGGGGTATAAATTTGGAGGTTTTTCTGAGCACGTGGGTGGTATTTGGATGAGGTGGTGTGGATATGAGTTTAGGTAGTGGAGAAAGGGGTTGCAAGCTGAGCTCTGTGTCCCAGTGTCGAGAGGTTAGGAGGAATTGCCAAGAGACAAAAAGGGGAGCCTAGTGCGTTCAGAAGAAAACTCAGAGGGGTGTCCGGGGAGGGCCTTCTTTTTAAGGCAGTATCTATTAGTGTGTTTGGGAGGATCGAGCAGGGAGGGGACAGTGATCATTCAAGAGCATGAGAGCTGCTGGAGTGCCTTCCTGTGCAGGTGAGAGGGTCCAGAACACCTGGAAGGCTGATCCTCGAGTGCATAGGAGCTACGCAGGGAGTTTGGGGGATGGGGTGGCATGTGGGTCTCACGCAGATGGGTGTCAGGTGAGAGGTGGGTGTTGGGTTGAGGTGGTGCTGGTGGCAATGAAGAGAGGGAAGAGAGGGTGAGTAGATCAAGGAACTGGGCCAGGATTGCAGGACGGCACCAAGGGCCCTGGGGATGGGTAGTTGGCCCTTTACAGAGGGACCCTGCAGCGTAGCTGTGCTCCGTGCTTGTCCCTTAGCTACATTCCACAGTCCACACCCGGGACAGGTTTCTCTGCAGAGGGGGGAGGGCTGAGGGAGCTGGAGCATGTGTGAGAACAGTGCCGATGCCTGTGGAATTGGACACAGCTGTTTGATTCTAGACGCTGGGCTTTAACCCGTCTAGGATACCATGCCTCCTCCCGGCTGGGTTGGCTTAACCCTCCTAGGATATTGTATCATGCCCAGGCTAGGGTGGCTTAACCCCTAGGATATTGTATCGCTCCTAGGCTAGGGTGGCTCAGCCCCCTAGGATATTGTATCGCACCCAGGCTGGGGTGGCTGAGACCCCTAGGATATTGTATCACGCCCAGGCTGGGGTGGCTCAGACCCCTAGGATATTATATCACACCCAGGCTAGGGTGGCTCTAGTTTTGTAAGTTGTCTTGTTCCCTTCTGAACAAGGCAGTATAAATAAATTTAAGTCACTGACTATTTTGATCACTTATTGCATCAAAGGTAAAATACTGACCAGGTATGGTGACTCACTCCTATAATCCCAGCACTTTGAGAGGCTGAGGCAGGACGATCACTTGAGCTTAGGAGTTTGAGACCAGCCTGGGCAACATTGTGAGACCTCGTCTCTACAAAAAATAAAAAAATTAGCTAGTTATGGTGGCATGTGCCTGTGATCTCAGCTACTCCTTGGGAGGCTGAGGCAGGAGGATTGCTTGAGCCCGGGAGATTGAAGCTGCAGTGAGCTGTGATGTTGCCACTGCACTCCAGCCTGGGCATGAGAGAGAGACCGTCTCAAAAAAAAAAAAAAAAAAAAAATGCAGTAAAGGTAAAGTATTTTGCTGTTTCCCTAAAAAAGAAAAAACACAACAAACATCAAACTTTTGACTCTAACATTCTTTTTAGGAATATATTCTATAGGCCAAAGCAGCAACAAAAATTTACCTTTGGAGAGAAAGTTTCAAGGAGGCCTCAAATCATCTAGTTAATGATACAAATGTTGTCCCAAAATATTTTTTCATGTATTTGCTAGTTGATGATGTATTTGCCAGATAATATAGGCACTAGGTAAATTTGGAAGGTTTAATAAATATCTATGATGGTAAAATGTATTAACTTTTAAATTTCAGAAAAATTGGAGAAGATGAGGGATCATGAACGAAAGGAAGAAACTTTTACCCCAATGCCCAGCCCTTACTACATGGAACTTACCAAGCTCCTATTAAATCAGTAAGTAGATCTCACCTCTTTGAGGCCACACCCAAGACTGGATGGACTCGCCATGCCCTTCCTCCAACCCTCGCCTTTCCTCTCCGCTTCTCTGCTTATTGCCTCAGTAAGTGGCAGCACTGGCCACCCTGTTTCTCAGGTCAGTGACTAGGAGGTCATCTGTGTACACACACCTGCCAGTTGTACTCTGTCTCTGTGTGTCTTTCTCTCTGTTCTTTCCCTTTATCTCTCATTTTTCCTTTTCTCCACCCCCTGGTGAAGCCCTTGGCTCTTTTTGTTCTGCCTCACATCACTCGACATTGGACCCTGGTGTGAGCCACCAGTATCTCACAGAATCGGCAGTAGCCATTCTTTGCCACGTATGTGTTTTATTTAGCACAGCTTTACTCCTGTTTCTCCTTGTAGTAGGTGGATTTGAGTTTTTTTGTGTCTTTCGCAGGAAAGGCCAGAGGACTCACATTTGCCTCTGCGCTTGGTTTACAGGAAAGCCCACTTCCTGGCAAAATCATGCTGTAGTAACCCCGTAGCTTGTTTGCCGTCATCCATACTGGCTCCTCTCAGCTTCCCATTCGTTCTTCACATCACAGTCAGAGTGGCCTTGGAAAGGCAGAACTGCCATGTGACTCCCTGCTTAAAATCCTCAGTCTTCCCTCTAAAGTCCTGAGAATGGTGTTCAAGCAGTGTGAGCCTGGTGCATGCTCCCCCTCCCTCTTTCACCCTGTTACAGCTCTTTCCTCTGCTTCTGGAGGGCTCAGGCTCATACTGGCCCCTGTCACTTCTTTAAGAATTCTGACTTTGCATATACTGTTCTCTGCCCTGTAAGTCCGTCCTTTCCCTGCTCCTGCTCACCTCCGCTGGTTAGTATAACATGTCTCTTCTGGGTTCAGCATACATGTTCTCTTGGCAGCTCTACACATTGCTATGGCATTTGCCAGCTGTAATTTTCTTGTTTGTCTGGCTGTGCCATCACATGTACCCATTTTAAATGGGCAGGGACTGGGTCTCGTATGCATATGTCCCCAGCGAGATGCCTGGGGCTCATGTTTGTTGAGTGAAAGAGTGAAACTAGTAAAGAAGGCAGACAAGTGGATAATTTTGCTTGGGAGATACTTAGAATGTCATTTGTACAATGTCAAGCTTCTGGGCATCCTTTAACTGGGTTCAAGAGCAGAACTAGAACAAAACATTGGGACACTAGTACTACTGCATGCTGCAGAGCAGCAGGAAGGCCTGGGGGCCCACCGAATGGCACTGCTGAATTTTAAAGGAAGACTTGGGGACACAGCATGGGCTTGTGCTTAGGCTGATATGAGGCTGCAGTCAGCCCATGAATTTCATAAAAAGCCGAGAACCAGCAATGCACCAAGCAGTGGCATTTGTCCCATAGGCCTGGTTCCTGGTGTGGTGGGGGAGAGATGCGGGCCTGGGAGCCCATAGTGAATCTTCAGTGTGACCAATGCTTTTGACAGTCCATCAGAGCACAGTAAGGCCAAGTGGTGCTAGAGAGGGCTCATATAGGTTTGCTGGGAGGGCAGACTTGTAGGAGGTGGATGGTAGGAGAGAGGGCAGTGAGGCAGGAGGAGCTGTTGTGCTCTGGCACAGAGTGTGGAGGACCTGGTGTAGCCAGGCAAGCAGAGGTATTTGAGCATGTGTAGTACATTCATGGGAGCCGGGGAGTGGAGGCATAGATTCTGCTGCAGTGGCCAGCCCCTGGGAGGGGCATGTGGCCTCAGAGGGACCTGAGAGAGACTGCAGTGGTGGTGGGGACAGTAGCTGGAAGGGAGAGGATCTATAAACAGGCTAGGTAAGAATTTGGCATTAGCTAGGTGAGGGGGCCTATTCATGTTTTGTTTTTGAAGTTCAATATGTATGTAGTTTTTATCAAAAACCTTGTTTTATAATTCATTTGGTTAAGGGACTTAATTTTACATATGTTCATCTGTTCAGTTGATGAGGAGTTGGGGTCTGTTGTTCTTTAACCTGCTGTTCAGAGCACAAGATCTAAATGTTTGGGGGTTTATAAATAACACTCACCACATAAATTTTGTACCAGTGATTTGCCTCTTACTAATCAGGAGTTATTTGTAGCATATGGAGAGAGAATGTCTAGCGTAACCTGTAATGCCTAGCGACGAACAATATTTGCTTCTGCTTTTAACTTGTAGTTTTTCTTTCAAGGTTAGTTTAAAATATTTCACAAAGGGAGCCTCAACTTTGTGAAAGCCTTCCTTCAGCCCTTGCTGACTTTGAGCTTCTAGCCAGAATTTTGCTATGTGTAGGTGTGCTCTATGTATACTAATTTGCAGTTTCTTCTGTGATTTTTGAAAATTGTTTTTGTCTTCTCTGAAGAGCAGAAGAGTCCCTTCCCTTCAGGGCTTGTATGAGGATAGAAATGCCAGGTAAAGTGCTGAGCCCAGTACCTGGCATGGAGCTGGTGTCCTGCTTCTTTAGGCTGTGATCCCTGGATTCCTGGTGGGGAACAGGGAGATCTGCTCAACACTCTGTAAATAAGGAGCAATAGAACTCGACCTTTCAGCCAGCCCTTGAAACCGATTCCTTGTAGATGGAGGTTATGCAGCACAGAACGCTGTTATCCTGAGACAGAGGGTTCTGACTTAGAGCTGATTCTCTACTAATTTTCTTAGGTAAACAGAAGTCCTGTTCAGCAGCCTGCCATGGGATAGTTACCGTGAGCAAAAGAAACACCATGTGGATCACTGCTGAATGTCCTTGGCACCAAGCTTAACTGCTACACATCTTTACATCCTAAAGTTGAAAACAAAGCAAAACAGACTTGCTGAGTCTGGAATAGCCGGAGTATTTTGCCTGAAAAGAGCCACTCTATCCAGCATTGCCTCAGCTTATCAAGTGTTCCCTGACTGACTTACCCCTTGCTCCTTTAGTGCTTCAGACAACATCCCGAAGGCAGATGAAATCCGGACCCTGGTCAAGGATATGTGGGACACTCGTATAGCCAAACTCCGAGTGTCTGCTGACAGCTTTGTGAGACAGCAGGAGGCACATGCCAAGGTAGGTGCCGCCTCACCTGGGTGCTAGTGGCCTTGATGCTGCATAATTTCACATGGCCTCCTGTCTGCTGAGGCTATTACAGGCAGGCATTACTAGCTGTGCTTTTTAAAAAGTTCATTGGTTTCTTATTTTTATTCGGTAGAGTTTACCATTTTCTCAAAATCAAAAACTCCTTGGCCAACTTGGTCTGTTTTCTTGTTTTAGCTGGATAACTTGACCTTGATGGAGATCAACACCAGCGGGACTTTCCTCACACAAGCGCTCAACCACATGTACAAACTCCGCACAAACCTCCAGCCTTCGGAGAGTACTCAGTCTCAGGACTTCTAGAGAAAGGCCTGGTGCGGGCGGCTTGCCGGGGGATGTGAGTGCTCAGGACGTGATGAGGTACTCGTGGTTCTGGAGCTCTAGAAACACTTTGAATGCATGAAAAACATGTGATGGTGCAAGGAATGGATTCAGGACATTGTTGGAGAAGCAAGTTTGTGATTAGTCCTTAAAACTTAGCTCCCTGGGACATTGTTCAATTCCACATCTGTTTCTAGAAACCAGCCTTTTTTTTTCCCCCTTTTGAGAAAGAAAAAAGCTTTAGGCAAATAAGTTATTCTCCCTAGCAGAGCCACATGGGTCTCCTGCGTGGAATCTGTCACACTCGGGCAAGTGTTCAGTGACTGGTAGGTATAGATACAGCAGGAGTGGCCATGTGGCCCACAGCTTTTTTCTGCCTTCTTAATCCTGGTTTCTTGGGCTGAATTTGGACTCTCCCGGAGGTGGCTCACAGGGAAGGATGGCAGATGGTGCAGCTAACAATGCTGACCAGTGCTTTTCCTCTAAGCCCTGATGCACAATAAACATGGACCCAACCCAACTCTGACTCTTTAGGTTTTTGTCCTGCGTAACTACCAAGTAAAAGGACTGAGCCTGTGGCTGAGATGACTCAGTAAACTAAACTGAGGCACACAGCAGTCAACTGGAAACTGCAGACCAACACCTGGGGTGTCTCGTTCTCTTGGTTACTTCTAGCTTAGGTTTAATGGGTTTCTTATCAAGGAGAGTCAGGAAAAAAACGAAACCAATGTATTGAGCACGAGTGACACTTAAGACAATGCTAGAAGAAAAGTCAGACTTTTAACGCTGCCCTGATGCATTTAGGGAAGGATTCTTTGTTGTAGGTAACAGTGGGCTCAGGGGAAATTATTTTTTTCCTAAGAGAAAATTACTTAATTTGTAGCATTTTGGAATGGTTAGGTCCTTTACAGAAATGACATTACCTTGAGAGATGAAATGATTGACCTGCATCATGCAATGGATAGAAGGTTCTGTAACTAGCTTTAAAAAAAAGTTTAATTTTTTTTTTTTTACGGTGGCTCACGCCTGTAATCCCAGCACTCTGGGAGGCTGAGGCGGGTGGATCACAAGGTCAGGAGATTGAGACTATCCTGGCTAACATGGTGAAACCCCATCACTATTAAAACACACACACACAAATTTGCCGGGTGTGGTGGCACGTGCCTATAGTCGCAGCTACTTGGGAGGCTGAGGCAGGAGAACGGCTTGAACCCGAGAGGCGGAGGTTGTAGTGAGCCAAGATCACGCCACTGTACGAGAGCAAGACTCCATCTCAAATTTTTAACTTTGTTTTTAGACAGGGTCTTGTTCTGTCACCCAGGCTGCAGTAGAATGGGGTGATCGTAGCTCACTGCAGCCTCCAACTTCTGGGTTCATGCAGTCCTCCCACCACAGCCTCCCAAAGCAGTGGGGTTGCAAGCATGAGCTGCCATGCCTGGCCAGCCTGTTTTTGGCTGGACACCAGTGGGCCAAAAGCAGTGGGGTGCTGTTTGGGGAGCTCTGAGAATGCACATGTGTGACAGGCTGAACCTAAAAAGACCATCCCCCAGCTTCGGCCCTACAGTGTCTAGCATGCTATGCACTATTGCTCCATGTTGCTGCCCACGTGTCCCCGCCAGGCAGGTGTTGGGGGTTATTTGGACACTGAAGGGTCAGACCTGGAAGACTGGGACCAAAAGAATAGGTCTCTATAATTTAAGGTGCTGTTCATAGTTAGTTCAGGTCGTAAGACTTTTTCTTTCATCTTACCCTTCCTCGGAATCCTCTTGCTTTCATCTGGGGATCTTTTAGAATGAAACTACTTGTTATTGTGGAGGGCAAGGGGTCCTAATGCCCTCCTCTTAGAACCTGAGCCAGTCGAGGCAGCTCCATCTGTCTACGTGTTTTATCTGTGGAGATGTATAGTTATGGAGCTTTTTTTGGCCTTGTTTTATTATATCATAAAAAAGATTTTCCTTTTAACATGATTTAGGAAGATTTTATTTTTTGGATGTTGTCAGAAATTACAGCAATATATTCATAAATACCTAATTACTACATTCAACAAATAATATTACAATACAATTAATTCAAACAAGTACACTTAGAACAGGTTTAATTTCACAGCATCTAAACTGCCCCCAGAGTGACCGAGGCACCGGTGTTCCTCCCTCCCACCTGTGTATGGGTTTACTGTTCTAGAATTAAGCACAGGGTACATACAAAATAACACCAATTAGCATGGTCTTCCTCAGGTCAAGGCAGAGTTAAGGAGTTTTTTAGGTTAAGCACTGGATTGAAAAGTTGGGGACAGGCTACTGCAAGTAGTAAGAAAGTCAACAGCTTGGTTACTTGAAAGAGTATAGAGATTGCTAAGTGGCTAATATACACTTTAAAGAGGAACAGAATTGGTTTGTGCTGACCATCTCCATCTTGTGGTGGATCCCTGGAATTTTCTACACTTGGGTGAAACACGTGGCTCAGGGAAAGGGGGAGTGGAGTATCTGGTTTGAAATTCAGCTTAATTTTTGAGATTTGGCAGTATATTATGAGCTACTTGAGGAAAACAGCATTCTGCTACAAACTGCAGATTCCCTGTGTTAGAATCCTTCACCGCTGAAGGTGTGGGCTCCTTTTTGATGCTCTCTGAATACTCTTAATGGTGCAACCTACCAGAATGTTAGTCCCAATTCAGTGCTTTATTCCTTTAAGATTAGAATGTAGACTAAAATGTGGAAAATCCCGTCTTGGTCACTTATCTGAGACAATTGATTAGGAACATATTTTATCGTCAGTCTGGCTCTGATTATATGAAACAAAGAAAAATAACCTGTTTCAATGAGGAACCAGATAATTTACTATTGGAAGGTATCCCTCTGCAGAGGACAGGTGGCAGTTCCCTTCCAGGTAATGTTAGGAAGATGGTTGAAGGACCGAGCCGAGGGCTTCACGTACATCCTGACACACAGGTGGCATAATCGACTCCAGAGCGGATTTGACGTATTACTCAACGTGAAATAGCTGAACAAAAAACTTGAGATTGCATGTCAATTTTTAAGCCCAACTGAAAACAGATTTAGGTGCTACTGTGTTGAGAATCATCTGAAAGTAAGTTTTCAAAGTATGAAACTAATTGTTGGATGGGAAAACCATGATTGGGTACTGTGTCTTGGGTGGTGTGCTTTCATTTTTGAGAAACACTTCTTACCTTTTTCTTAGTTTATTCATGTTGCCTCACTGGTTTGTATTCTGATTGTCGTATTTCTTGAGCAACAGTACTCAAATCGCCACAAGTACGTGGAAGGATGGGGAGACTGGGCGAGAAGCTCAAGGACCGGGCAGAAGTGGGGTTTCCACTGGCAGGGGAGAAGCCAACTATTGCTAGCACAGTGACACTGCTTCCACCCTGGGCGGATCCCTCATGGTGTACCACCTGTCCCCTGTGCTGTCACAGAAACTCCAACCAAGGGAGCACCCCTTAGATGGTAAGGGATGAGCTATGTTTTTAAGTTATCGGATCTACTTTTCCCTTTTACTTTAGCCAAGGCCATTACCAAAAGCATCCAGACATCTGTGATGGAGGAGGTGGCCTGAGAGCAGAAGTGCTAAGATGTGACTCTTAAGCCTTCAGACCAGAAACCTCAAGCAGGTTTTCAGTGGAGAAATCCAGTGAGATTTTTGCCCTGATCGTTTGTAGCCGACTCCCTCTGAACACCTGTGGGACATGTTGAGCTCCCAGTGTCTTTCGAGGGGAGGCCGCAGCACAGCCCCTCGAGTTCTCTTCCAGCCGCTTCTGTGGAGAGGAAGGCGCTTGTTGACTGCTGATAATACTGGCGGTACATTTGTCTGAGTTTGCTAATAACTGGAAGATTCTTGGCAGACGTACAAAGCAAACTGTGCGGGGGCAGATAAAGCGACACGATGCCAGCTGCCAGCAAGCTGTTCTGCGCAGCAAGGGCTAGAGCCAAGGGCTCTGCCGCTGGTCACAGCAGTGAGCAGCCAGCACACAGGTCAGGCAACCTGCCCTGAGCTCAGGCCTCCACCCCCCAGACCAGTGACTGGCAGCCCTGGCCTCTGGTGAGGGCCCTTGGGAGCAAGAGAGGCCTTCTTGATCTAAACACTGCCTCCATAAGCAGTAACTGGGACAAGGAGAAGACTTGCCCATTGCTTTGCCTTGGTGTGATGAGCCCAGTTTCTGACCATTCCTGTGCTTGTCACAGTAAGTTCAAAAAAGAAGGGTTCAGCTCAGACCTCGTGGCTTTTACAAAGCATTGTATTTAAATAAAGCCTCTGACATTCCTATTCTGTACCTGCTCTCAGACACTTTAGAATTCTATCACAGAAATCACTGACTTCCTGAAAGGTTTTTAAAAGGCCCCACCCATGTGTGCACATGATTGTCACACATGGGTTCTATGGACCTCCTCCCTTGATAGCAATGGGTAATATTTGCTATTAGCTTGTCCAGATGCTGGGGGCGGGGAGGGGGAGTGGAGGAGGTAAGCAGTAGCGCATGGCTTTCTACGGCAGCTTCTGGTACAACTCAAACTAAAAATGAAGTGATCGCATAGGCGCCAGTGGTAAGCTCTTTTACTTTTCTTCTTCTTTAATTTTTAAAAACACTTCAATATTTTAATGTCCTGACCAGCAGCAGTACAAACACTAAAAGCAAGGTTTTTTTTTTTTTTTTTGCCCAAAAAAACAAAACAAACAAAACCCCCAAACAGGAAAAACAAACAAAAATCCCCCAAACCACATATTAAAAATGGCAGGCTTTTTATAACAATAGTTAAAGTAATAAAAACATACAAAACTTTGTTTTTTTAATATATATACACAGTACAAGGCTGAAGCACCTTTGACTTTTCTCTCAAAATTTACGTCTGTATGAAAACCCCACCCACTGTAGCAACAATCTGGTGGGTGTGAAGCTGTGTATACACAGAGCTCTGTACATGCTCCCCACGGAGTAATAAAAAGGTACCTTCAGTTTGTGAATTGGTTTTATCTTTAGGTAAGAGCTTTTCCACGGAAAAGCCTTTGGGTTGCTTTGTGTGCTCCTAGGACTTGTTGCTTTGAAGAAAATTTTGCAGGAAAGTAAATGAAACAAATAAGCCCTTTTTTTACTTACAATGCACCCAACCTTTTCAGCTGAAGCAAGTTTCACTCCTGGGAGGAATGAGACTGGCCCCATCACTGCGGCAAAAGCAAACTGGGCTTGAGGCATAGTAACATGGCAACACAAGAAAACAGAACCGGTTTGATCCACTCATCTGCACAGGGGGCTGTCAATGATCACGTTTTAGTGTTGCTAATGGAGCCTTTACGTTCAGATTAAGAAAAAATGTGGGCGAGGAAGGACTAAAACCACCTTTAAAAAGAAAAAGTATGGGCAATCCTACATTGGTTGCTCGCTGAATGACAATGGTGATTCAATTGCATTGACGTCAAGGTGAGTTCATTCTTTTTTTCTGGAGCCTGGAATCCTTTGCTTCATGCATGGCACATTCTCATTTTGTAAGCTTCAAACCTCCCAGTGAAAAATATTAAATATTCAAGGTAATAAAATAGATAATATTTCTATACTATAGGTTCGGCCTAGTGCAAGGGAAACCGTCACCTGGGGTATCCCTTCAGGTAGCCCCTAGGCCAGTGCATTGCAGGCAAGGCAAGGCACTTTCGTAAGTGGTCCAGTTCTGCCTGGAGCCGCTCCCGTTCTGAGACCATCTTCTGTTTCTGGCTCCTCAACTCCTGGAGAGAGGGAAATTTGTGTCAAAACCAATCCATTTCCTCTGTGAGGACAAGCATGTGGTATACAAACATGCTGGATGGAAGGGCAAACCTACATTTGAAAATGTCCCAGCCGGGCGTGGTGGCTCACGCCTGTAATCCCAGCACTTTAAAAGGTTGAGGCGGGCAAATCACCTGAGGTCAGGAGTTCGAGACCAGCCTGGCCAACATGGGGAAACCCCATCTACTAAACATAAATTAGCCAGGCGTGGTGTCCTATGCCTATAATCCTAGCTACTCAGGAGGCTGAGGCAGGAGAATCGCTTGAACCCAGAAGGCAGAGGTTGCAGTAAGCTGAGATTATGCCATTGAATTCCAGCTTGGATGACAGACTTCACCTCAAAAAATAAGTCTCCTTTTCAGCCTGTGTTCTGTCCCTGGCTCTTCCAGAGTCTTAAGAATCGGCGTCTGCTGCTGTCTTGGCTCAAATTCGGAGTTCTTGGAACCCCCAGATGTAAAAACTTTGGGAGTGATCTGAGATCTGCTTCCCATCCCTGCCCCACAAGGACATCTGCTGGACCAGTCCTGCTAGTGTGGCTGTGAGCCGGGTGAGATGGTTTCGGTTGCTTCAGCTTCCCTTCTCTAATAAAACCCTGCTGCTCTCCTTAGCAAATCACAGTAGGGGAGACTGATACAGGCAATAATTCATTCTGCAAACAGCATCTGTACCCTTCCAGGATCAATATTCTATGTTAAAGATAGCTCCTTCCTTACCTAAATCCTAATCAACTAGTGTCTGAATTTTCCCCTTTAGGAGACAGTGGTCTTGCTCTGTCAACCAGGCTGGAGTGCAGTGGCATGATCGGAGCTCACTGCAGCCCTGAACTCCTGGGCTCATATGATCCTCCTGCCTCAGCCTCCCAAAGTGCTGGGATTACAGGTGTGGGCCATTGCATGCAGTCCAAATTGTGACCTCTTAAGAGCACATTTCCTCTTTGAAACTTATCTTCATGGGTGCTTCTGAACCCAAACTCAAAAGGTTGCGTGTTTGAATGTTTCTGTCCCTTCCCAACTCACCGCCACGCTGTGGGAGAGCTGCTCTGCCGTCAGGCTGAGGCTGTAGTGCCGGGCCTCCAGTCGTCTGCATTGTGTCTGCAACACCTGCCGTTCCAGATTTTGCTCTGAAAAGACAAGAGATGGTAATGTATCTTCTGTGTGCAGGGGCCCCAAGGCCTGGCGAATGCTCTCCTCTTCACACACTGCCCAGCAGAGCCCAAAACCTCTCTCCAGTGCAGCCAGCAAAGGCCTCTCCTGTGGGCCACAATGTTCCCAGCCCTTTGAACTGTACCAATACATACATAAACACTAAATTAAGCCCAATACACAGGAATAAAGACAAAGGATCCAGGACTTAAAGGCAATTTGACACAGATTAGGAAGAAATTTGATGGCCTTAAAATGCATCTTTTAAAAACAAAATAGGCTTTCAGTTTAGGCTGCTGGAAAAAGGCCAGAGTAAACTTAAAGCACAGATTTAATTAATAAAATAAAGCCTCTGCTCTACCAAAGGATACCAGGCCTAGTTTTAATAGGAGGGTGACTTCAAATATTTAAGGACAAATCCCTACTTTATACAGAGTGTTTCAGAGAATGAAAAACAGGGAAAGTGCTAACAATCTGGATAACAAAGTACAATAAAACTAGAGTCTAATACTAATGAACATACATGAAAAATCCTAAAAGTACTAACGAATTCAACAAGGATGGAGCAACATCAAGAAAAAAATCAAAGGATGAAAAACTCTGGAAATGGGAACCTTCACTCTTTAATGGGATGCTTTAAAGTTTCACAGACAGGGGCCCCACCAGTGCCTCTCTTTGGCAGCACTGGAGTGACATGACAATCAAATTCAAAAGAACCAAACCTTGTATTTGCAGGTTTGATCATCTGTGATTCCTAAGATCTAAGGAATAATCACAGGCAACGTAAAATCCAGTCGGGTGCGGTGGCTCACGCCTGTAATCCCAGCACTTTGGGAGGCCGAGATGGGCGGATCACGAAGGTCAGGAGATCGAGACCATCCTGGCTAACATGGTGAAACCCTGTCTCTACTAAAAATACAAAAAAAAAAATTAGCTGGGAGCGGTGGTGGGCGCCTGTAGTCCCAGCTACACGGGAGACTGAGGCAGGAGAATGGCGTGAACCTGGGAAGCGGAGCTTGCAGTGAGTGGAGACTGCGCCACTGCACTCCAGCCTGGGCAACAGAGCAAGACTCCGTCTCAAAAAAAAAAAAAAAAAATCCAAAGACCCCCAAAATCTGTGATACCTGAAACTAAATCTAGTCAAAACTTCATGTACAAAAATGATGTGATAGTTTTGTACCATATTCATGGACAAGGATGCCAACCAAGTCTGTAAATTCAATGCAACTGAAAATCTAACAGGACTCTTTTTGGGAGTGAATATAATGTGATCCTAAAATCCTTGGGTGAAAGCCATGGGCTAAAGACAGCTGAGCAGTAGCTGAGAAGGGGGGGTCAGTGCAGGTCATGACTGACAGGGGCGAAGCCAGGCCCAGCAGGTGTGGGAGTTGAGGCAGGGAAGACTGTGCCCCATACATTGCCTGGACAACTGGTTGGGTGGGAAAGATGCAGTTAAGGAAAATTTCTGCCTTACTCTGTACACACAAACGAATCCTACACGGAACAGGAAAAAGCCGAACTCACAGAAGAAAATACAGAAGAATAGCCTTACAGCCTTAGGGTATGGAAAGAATTCCCAACACACACCAAAAAACCCACAAAACCAGAAAAGATGGAAATATTTCATCTAGGAGAGTTTAAAAATAACTCTGTATTGTTTCTGGATATATATAAGTGCACTTAAAGAATAGTAACATGTAGGGGGAGTGGTGGGCAATAAACTCAAAGATTCCATGGGAGGAGGAAAGGAAGTGAAATACAGGATTTGATGCCCTGGTTGTAGCTACATGGGCATTTGTTTTTAGTTTGGAGAATACTTTTCCAGACTGAGTTCTGCCAGGAGAAAAAAGGAAAAAAAATTTTTTTTTTTTTTTTCTTGAGACGGAGTCTTGCTCTGTTACCCAGGCTGGAGTGCAGTGGCGCGATCTCGGCTCACTGCAAGCTCTGCCTCCCAAGTTCATGCCATTCTCCTGCCTCAGCCTCCCGAACAGTTGGGACTACAGGCGCCCGCTACCACGCCTGGCTAATTTTATGTATTTTTAGTAGAGATGGGGTTTCACTGTGTTAGCCAGCATGGTCTCAATCTCGACCTCATGATCTGCCAGCCCCAGCCTCCCAAAGTGCTGGGATTACAGGCGTGAGCCATCATGCCCGGCCAGAAAAAACTACTTTTCTAAGTATTTGAATTGGTTGACATTCATAATCAAGTCTTTGTATTTGGTGATATTTACAACACTGTCACACGTGATAATAAAGAGTCCTCTAGGACAAGTTAAATCAATTGCAGGTGGCTGTGGCCTGGCCCAGCTTTTGTCAAAGCACATACCCAGCAGTGCCCATGCAGTAAGGATGGTGAGTGCAAAATGAAGGCTGGGTACCTCTGCTGTTCCCCAAAGGGGCCTTTGCAATATCCTAGAGAAACTGAGGAACAGAAGCAGGAGGTGGGGTGCAGTATACAGGAGCATCAAATGCTGCAGCGCCCAGCTTCATGGCCCCACTCCCTGGCAGGGGAGATGTGGCCTGAGTCCGCCTGGTGCTGTGGCTTCCCAGGAGGGTTGGCGTGCGCATTCCCAGGTGGGATCAAAACATCCTGGGTATTCTAAGAGGTGGCGAGCCTTCAACTAAGTCTTTGCCAGGAGCCCGTCTTTAAGGTGCTTGGCTAAAGGTAGCTGAAAACACGACGCACCCATTGGCCACAGAGCAATCCTTGCAGTGTGGGGAGGCTGTCACCGGGCTAGAGGCATGCTGGAGCAGTGACCAGGCCTAGCTGCCAGGGCTCAGCAAATCAACTAGGTCATCTCCCAGGACCCTTACATGAAACTGAGGCCGACATCCGCACTGATGCAGCTCAGAGAGCGGGGCCCACATGAAGAATGGCAGGTGCCACCAGAGCTGGCATCGTGGTACTTGGATGCCCTAGCAAGACTGGCCTCAGGTTCCAGCATGGGACATCACCACTACCAGAAGCCGGAAGAAACTTCCCTTCCAGTATTTGTATCTACTGTGCCTCAGGATGGAGAAACAGTCCCCAGGCTGGCAGAGGTCTGCATGAACTCACCACTCAGATTCCTTTCCAAAGGTACTTTCCTGACCCCCTCCCTGCTCTTCCCCAGCACCCCCATACCTTCTATGTGTTCCTGGTAAGCTTCAAAAATGGCCTCAATCCCTTGCCACTTGCGTCTTGGGGCTTCCTCATCATCTTCTCCATCTTCATCCTCCTCCTCTTCCTCCTCTTCCGAGTCCCGGTCCATCTCCTGGGTTGGGGGGCCCTTCCTCACAGTGGGGGGCTCCTGCTGCCCATTGTGCTGGGGTGGAGGGGCGCGGCTGGAGGACTGCAGCTCGGGAATGTTGTAGTGGACGGACGTGTCAACCTTGTGGTTCTGCTCTGCAGACAGCACAGCCATGCTCCCTGTGGAGGGGACAGGGCTTGTGTCAGTGTGTTGGGGAAAGGGACACAGGGTGCTGTCTCAGAAGGGAGCTGTGCCCTGCCTTTGGTGCAGAGTCAGCATGACTGCAGGGCTCCAGGGGCCAGTATGACACTGGGTAAAAGAGGGATCTAGCCCAAGACCTCTGGGCTACAGACCCAGCGTGAGAAAGTCTGAGACAGCCAGGAGACACCACAGCCCTGAGCGCTAGTTGATTCTGGTACATGGACCATTTTTGCTGAAATTCATCTCTGAGACTCCATTTTTTGTTTTGGCTGCCCCCGGTCCTCTGGGTAGCAGGCTGGAGAGAAATGGCCCAATCTCAGCTCACTGCAACCTCCCCTCCCAGGTTCAAGCAATTCTGCTGCCTCAGCCTCCAGAGTGGCTGGGGTTACACGCATGCACTATCATGCCTGGCTAATTTTTGCATTTTTAGTAGAAATGGGATTTCGCCATGTTGGCCCAGGCTGGTTTAAAACTCCTGACCTCAGGTGATCCGCCCACCTTGGCCCCCCAAAGTGCTGGAATTACAGGTGTGAGCCACCGCGCCTGGCACTGCCTCCATCTCTTTGAGCTTGGTCTATAGTTGGCCCTCAGCAGACACCAGCCCGTCCTCTCACAAGGCATGGGTGTGTCGGTCCCTAGGCATAATGGGGCTCTGCCCTCTCCCAGGAGTCAGCCTCATTGTGCCCTGTTTCAAGAGGGCGTGCCCCCTCTCATGGCATGGCCCAGTGGGTGACATCCTCAAGGGCACACCTGGCTTCCCGTGTGGATGGCAGCCCCTGGTGGGGCCTGAGACCAGCCCAGTCAGTACAGTGACTTGGCTCAAACTGGTACAGCAGGGTGACTAAAATCTTGAGGAAACCGTTTAGTGTAAGGCCAGGACAAGGTCAGAATAAATTGGCAGAAAAAAATATGCCCTAGGGCCACAGAAAAGCCTCTACAAGGTGTACCGCCAAGGGGCAGGGAGGGAGGGTATTCTGAAATTTTGAAAGGCATCTCAGCAGCACTGTACAGTCTCCCTTGGTATCTGTCATGGAGGACTGGCTCCAGACCTCCTGTGAACACTAAAGTCCAGGGATGTTCAAGTCCCTGATATAAAGTGGCGTAGTATCTGCACATCATCTATGCACACCTCTAGAGTACTTGTAATACCTACACTTTACCTGCTGCTTGGCAAATTCAAGTTTTGTTTTTGGAACTTTGTGGAATTCCACCCCACCCGCAAATATTTCTAATCTGAAGCTGGCTGAATCCAAAGACACAGAACCCATGGATCCAGAGGGCTGGCAGTGACATCTTTAGATACCACCTCTACCTTGAGGACTGGCGGCCATCTGCATCTCTTGTCTTGAAAAACATGATTCTTTCAAATGAATGCTGGTAAAAATCCACTCAAGTGCTCTTCCCTGCCTTTGGGGAATCTTTTTTAATCTCTGCAAAAACCAGTGCCTGCTGGTGTTCACTGCTTTACCTCTTACTGATCGATGAGTCCCTGCTCACAGCACAGCATCAGCGCTGGTGCCTACAAATGCTTTTCACCTACGAGTTCAGGTTTTAGAGCTTAGAGTAAAACAAACAAACATGGTTTTGGCATAATAACAAAATTATTTTCTTCTGGTGATTGGAGTTTATAAAAACTTGTGCCCACAGCTGAACAGCTGTGGCGCTCAGGGACTTTGGCTAGCCTCAACCATTGCCGAGAGCTGAGCGGGGACTGGCAGCCTCATTACCTTTATGCTTCTGCAGGGCCTTCTGGGTGGACTGCAGCACTGACTCGTGGAACTGATGTGCAAACTCTTCTGCCACAAAGGGCTCCCACGGCTTGCTCTTCCCATTGGTGCTGTGGGACAGCGGCACAGGAATGTCCTTGGATGCAGCGCCCCGGATGTAGTGAAGCATGCTCAGGCTCTTCTTGCCTCCAGGGGCCTCGCTCAGCCTGGCCTTCTCCCCGCTGGCAGGAGCTAGCTCCTGGACTCTCGACAGCTCCTGGGGCCGAACCTGTTCCAGCTTCCCAGGCTCCGTGGCCTTTGGGATGTCAGACAAGGAAGCAGCAACCCCCACCGGCTTCTCCACATCCAGAGAGGCTTGCTGAGTGGCCGGTTCTTTTAGAGACAGAAAGTGAAGGAAAATGTTAAGAAACGCAAGTTAACAGGCTGAGTGTCCAGCACGCAGATCCTGGTCTCCAGAGCTTACACTTAAAGACCTAGTGCAAAGAACCAAGACCCGGGGAACATTTAAATCACCGCCACACACATGGCTCTTCTCTGAAGACGGCGGGGTGTTTAGTGGCAAGTCCATCCTTTGAAAGATGTCCCAAGAAGAGAGAAACAGATCCACAGGAAGAAGGAAGTCCCCCAGCCACGGGGATGGTAGGGAGGTATTCAGTCCAACCGGACAAGAGTGGGTGAGGAGCCGAGAACTGGGATGAACTGTAAAGATTCCCTGTGACATTTGACAGGGCAGAGATCAGCCAGAGATGTAAGAGGAGGAAAGGTGTGGCAGCAGGTGCCAGCGGGGCCCAGAGGGCAGAGTGAGGAAGACAAAGATTCAGGAAGAGAGCCAGGGCAGCCAGGCTAGTGGCAGGACCAGGCTGCGGGCACTAAGGCTGGAGCACGCCCTCCCTCCTGGGATGGTACCACTGGATTGGCCTTCATGTGAGCCTCTGTGCCCTAACTGAAGGACAACGGTTATTATGACCACAGTGATCACCACATAGAGCTACACGGAAACCAGACCCTCCCCTCAACTCAAAGCCCGTCTTCGAACTGACGCTCCGTCCCAATGACTGCCACAACTGTGCAAGAATGGTACGCTTGTACAAGAAGAATGGAAGAAGACAGTCTGCAGGAGGCCACATTCACAGTGATGAGGACCTCAAGTGGATGCCTGAGCCTGGGCAGCCCATGGGATGGTCCTGGGTGGTGGCAGGTGGGGCTATCCTTCCCTTACCACTCAGGGAGACGGCAGGACTGTCCCTCGGAGAGTTTGTCAAGGAGTCGGCCACTGCTGCTGACAGTGCCTTCTGCTTCATGGCACGGAGCATTTCAACAAGTCTCTCTTTGTCTATGAGAAAAGCAGCCTGAGATTAACGAGCCAGTTGCGTCATTTTTTGGAGAGGACAGCAGGATTCTAGCCTTGATGGGCAGGTAATGCACTAAAGCCCGAAAAACCAAAAGCAGGTGCGATGGGGCAGGCCCAGTTTTAAGGAAGCAACCATCTTACAGCGAGCCCAGATTGCTCTTGGCATCACTACACAATGTCCTAGCCTTGCTCCAGAGACAGCTGTCTGCGCGGTGGTTACCCCTCTGTGAATCACTGTGCCCACAGACCTCGGAGGTAACGTGTGACGATGTATTCTTATTTCAAGTCAGAAAAGGTGGCCCCAACACAAACAAATGCCCCAAAGGCCCAGGCCTGGCCTCTGAGGCAGAGTGCCTTCTCACCCACTCCTACCATTACTGCCACTTCCTGAAAAGGAAAGATGACCCCATGATGTTCCACGCAGCAGATTCCTGATGTCACCCAACCCTTCTTGACTGTGAAACTCAAGGGCTGCATCACCCTTAATTTTTTTCCTCCAAAAATTCAGCCAGGTAAAAAGATGCTTTGTATCTAGGGAACTGGGCTGGCATTCAACACATCACTAGCCCGTTAAGAGAAAGGGAAAACTACTGACTGGTTAAAAGCAGAGAGTAAATGGCTACACCCTGATCAACACCCTGAAGCTGCTCAAGGTCTAAGAAGTAACTGCTTTTCTTCAACTTTCTCCCAGAGAGGAGGCCAGAGGTCCATGAGGACTTGGAGGCATGCATAAGGTCAGGCCCAGGAACGTCAACATCTGGGCACCAAGCCAGCCTGCATTGCAGGCCAAGGAAGCCAAAACTCTGAGCAGGTGTTGCGGCTGCATTGTTTCTTCTGCTGTATGGATTCTAGCCTAGAGGGTCTGTCCCAACATGGCCCTATGTGGCCAGAGTGGACTGGAAGCATCTTTCAAGGCAAGCCATTGGCTCAGTGTGTGCTGTCCTGCTTGGCAGCCCTTTCCCAGGCCTCCGGCCACCAGGACACAACACCCAGCAGACCACCTAAGCAATCCAGCAAGAGGAGAAGTCTGCAGCAAACGAACCTGGAACACCTGGTACCTCGCCTCATGCCTGGTGCGGTCACTGGAGCACTCGGCTCAAAGAGCGCCTTCTCGGGCGCTGGGAGATAGATGAGTAACAAGGGTAGTCCTCAGCTCAAGATGGTGGGGCTCTCAGAGCAAAGCCTGCCAGGTAAGGCTGCTGTGGAGGGCGTGTAAGAACAGAGAGGCTGTTCCCGGGAGCCGGGAGGAGTAAAGGGGCGGCCTCAGGCTGAGTGATCCCAGATCCTGCCTGGAGTCCACTGGCCCCACCCGCTGCTTCAGAAACCCACTTCCACCCCAGTGAGCCCCCACCTTCCTACCCAGGCGAGGCCCTACCTTTCCTCTTCTCGGCGCTGATGTGGGTCAGGTTGAAGATGGTCAGGAACTTCTTCTTTTCTTCGAAGTTGGGACTGTTGTTCATCTCGTCAGGGCTGTAGCGGGTGGACAGCGCCAGTCTCGGCGAAGGCGTCTGCCGCTTGCTCTGAATCGTTGGGGGCGACGGGCTTCTCTCTCTCAACATCCGCCGCCGCTTCCTGCGCTTCTGGGCCACCAGTTCCTCCTTCTGCTGTTGGGTGGTCAAGCCAAAAAGTTGCAAAAACTCTAGCTTCTAGATTGGGAAAGAAAACAAATGAGTTTGAAGCCACTGGCAGTGGTATGCTTTCACTGTCCTGGGGTCCCCTCCTGGGGTCCTCGAAGTGTGTGCCAGGGCTGGCTGTGCCCGGTGGCAGAGGAGCTTGCTGGGGCGAACCCGCCAGGACTTCTGGAGGAACCTAGCAACAGTGGGGTGGACTGCGGGGTGTGGACGCTAGGACCGAGAGCCCAGCCCAGAGCATGTCCATGGGGAGGAGAGCCCAGTACCTCGGAGGACGTGTCCAATTTGAGGGGCGGCTGCTCGGCCACGCAGCGGAGGTGGGCCCTGACCTCCTCCTCATCGCTCTCATCGTAAGAGTCATCGAGGTCGTAGTAGTACCCTGATGGAGAAATGGTTGTATTGAACCGGACAAAGAGCCTTCATCTGTCCAGTGGACATGCCCGCAGGGGCTCATGTGTGCAGACCACCTATCAGTCCAGGCCTGCTGGCACCTGAGCACCCTGAAGGCCAGTTCCTTTCAACCGAGGTGGAAACCAACATTAACCCAGTCCTGGGGCTTTGCAGGACCGCAGGCACGAGGCTTCCCTGGGATCCATGGCTCCCAGGGGCCTCCAAGTGGCTGGGTGGTCCCCTGGGCCGACAAGACCTCCCTCCTCCCCCGGCAGGGAACCACTCATCATACAGGCCTGGGGCTGTGTCCACAGCAACACAGGACTGCCTGTGCGCACGCACTCCCCCGTGCTGTGGCCATCTGAGTCCATCCCCTGGGAGGGGACAGGCACACACAGGCCTGAGCTCTCAAAGGCACAGAGAACAATAGCAGAGCCCCTTGCCCGGGGCACTCGGGTATTTCCCTCCTCCTTTACAAAGTGAGCAGGGGAGAGAAACTCGGCTGGGCCCTCCATCCAGCCTAGACCAACAACCAGGAAGACTGCCCGTGCCCCAGCTTCTAGTGAAGAGAAGGCTGAGCTCAGCACTGGACGGGACCCGAATGTTCAGCGTCAGAAATGAAACTGGGCAGGAGCCCCTGCTCCCCTCCTCACACCCAGGCCTGCTCGGTTGCTCTTCCTGGCTCTCTGGAGAACTCAGGGAGCTGCTGGCTGCGGACTCCCCGCCCCAAGCAGAAACAGGAATGAAGTGCCTGACCTCCTATGCTGACCCAGGGCAGTGCCAGCTGCCGCCGCCTCACCCCTTGGCCCACCTGCTGCAGCTGGTGACAGCAGCCCCATATGTGGAGCCCCCGCTGGGCCAGGGCTGGCTCTCCTGTTATGCTGCACTATTAATATTTAAAACTATCGTATTAGCCTCCGGCTCATCACTTATTCATCGTGCTTGTCTGTGGAACTGTCTTTACAGGCGGGCTTTGATTTGGCTTTCCGGGACAATTTGCATCGAGGCAGGACAGGCACGGGGATTAGGGTCTGCCTCCCCTACAAGGGTGTCATGTTGCTACACAGAAGCCAGTGCACTTGCCACCTGGGGCCTGGGACTACCCCAGGCAGAAAGCAGGAGTGGACGGAGGGGCAGGGGGCTGGCATGCAGGTTCCCCGTCCCCACTGTGCAGCTCTCCCTGAGCAGGTCGGGGTCTGTGGGGAGGCAGACCTTTCTCCTGGGCCTCCCGCCGCCTGCGCTCCTCCAGGTCCAGCTTGCTGACCAGCCTCCGGCGCTGCTGCAGGAACTCATCGTAGATGTAGGCGGGGTCGGGGGCCCGTGGCGCTGGGGGCCGGTAGGGCGAGCCAGGCTTCAGGGGTCCGCTGAGCTCCCCGAAGGTGGCTGCCTGTGGGAGGGAGGCCCGCTGCTGGCCCAGGATGGTCTGGGTGGACTTCTCGAGCTCAGCCAGGAAGGGCCCAGGCCCGGGCGGGAAGGGCTGGTGCTCCAGGCTCCCTCCCTCTCGTGGTGGTGGTGGAGGTGGTTGGTACTTGTCCAGGGGGGCAGGCTCACGCTTCCGTGGCCCCTCCTCTGCTTTCTCCGGGCAGAAGACCCGCTCCACCTTCACCAGCGGCACGGCTGCCTGGCGGCTGGGCTCAAATGCAGCCGGATGGCTGTGCACAGAGTGGCTCTCGGCCCGCCGCGTCTCCAAGGTGTTGTCCATCAGGGACACGGGGTTCCAGAGGGCCGTGGGTGCAGCATGGAGCTGGGGCTTGGGTGAAATCAGAGGTGGTGGCCCCCCAAAGTGCTGCGGAGGGTCGCGGCCACCTGGCTCGTGACGGTTTGGTCCTGGCCTAGGGAGTGAAACCAGCCCGTCAGTCAGGGAGAAAAGACCCTTCAGCCACCCCCAGGCTTCCCCGGCTGCCTGCCGCTCCTAAGATGACCCAGATGGCACAGCCCCTTTGAGAGCCAGTGCCAGTGGGGCTGCAGGGAGGGGCACATACTCCACCCCAAGGACCATGGTTTCTGTCCTTCATTTCTTTTTTTTTTTTTTTTTTAAGATATAAAGACTTGGCCGGGTGCAGTGGCTCATGCTGTAATCCCAGCACTTTGGGAGGCCAATGTGGGTGGATCACGAGGTCAGCAGTTCGAGACCAGCCTGGCCAACATGGTGAAACCCCATCTCTACTAAAAATACAAAAATTAGCCAGGCATGATGGCGGGCACCTGTAATCGCAGCTACTGTGGAGGCTGAGGCAGGAGAATCACTTGAACCCGGGAGGTGGAGGTTGCAGTGAGCTGAGACCGTGCCATTTCCCTCCAGCCTCAGCGACAGAGCAAGACTCTGTCTCAAAAAAGAAAAGAAAAAAGAAAAAAAAAGACTCACTCTGTCACCCAGGCAGGAGTGCAGTGGGGCAATCTCAGCTCACTGCAACCTCTGCCTCCCAGGTTCAAGCAGTTCTCCAGCTTCAGCCTCCCAAGTAGCTGGGATTATAGGTGTGCGCCACCACGCCCGTCTAATTTTTTTTATTTTTAGTACATGGGGTTTCATCATGTTGGCCAGGCTGGGGTTGAATTCGTAACCTCAAGTGATCCAACTGCCTGGGCCTCCCAAAGTGCTGGGATTACAGGAGTGAGCTAGCACGCCCAGCCCTCCAACACCTGCGGCAGGCGTGTGCAGGCTGTTCCAGGAGGACAGGGAGGCTCTCAGCCTAAGCTGCTAGGGAAGGCAGAGACCCCCTCAGGCCTGGGACAGACCCAGTTTTGGTCGAGTTTCCCAACTGCTTGCCTGAATTCCCCTAAGGGCAAGCGCTCATCCTCACTTTCCATGGGGAAACCCACATATGCTGGGCTGTGGCCCCGCCACCAGTACCCTCCTCCCGCTGTGCCTTGTAGGGACACAGGGCAGGCTGGCCACCTTCACAGGGTGAGTACTCCTTCCTCCCCACTGTCCCTGCAGGCAGCCACGAGACAACCTTCCAGTGCCTGCCCAGCCAGAGTCAAACCCACTGTGAAATGGAGATCCTCCCAGTCAGTATGGGGCCTGTGCCGAGACTGCCCCCCAGTGGCCCCTGTCAGAACTGCAGCAACCCGAAGTGTCCCGTGGCAGAGGCCACCAAGTGTCTTCAAGGACCCAGGCTAAGGCCTGCTGAGGCAGGGAGGGAAAGAAGGGATTTCTAACATCAGAACCCTTCCATTAAACAAGCAGCTGCCCCTTAGTTGCACTAAATGACTTGTTTCCTCAGTGCAATTAGAACAAGATTTAATCTACTCAAAGGCCTATTTTTAATATTGTCTTTCCAAAGTTTATTTTTTTTTTATTTTTTTTTTGAGACGGAGTCTCGCTCTACCGCCCAGGCTGGAGTGCAGTGGCTGGATCTCAGCTCACTGCAAGCTCCGCCTCCCGGGTTTACGCCATTCTCCTGCCTCAGCCTCCCGAGCAGTTGGGACTACAGGCGCCTGCCACCGCGCCCGGCTAGTTTTTTGTATTTTTTTAGTAGAGACGGGGTTTCACCGTGTTAGCCAGGATGGTCTCGATCTCCTGACCTCGTGATCCGCCCGTCTCGGCCTCCCAAAGTGCTGGGACTACAGACTTGAGCCACCGCGCCCGGCCCAAAGTTTATTTTTAAGAGATGGGTCTCGCTGTGTTACCCAGGCTGGAGTGCAGTGGCTGTTTACAGGAGCAATCCCACTACTGATCAACACGGGAGTTTCGACATGCTCCACTTCCGACCTGGCCTGATTCACCCCTCCTTAGGCAACCTGGTGGTTCCCCCGCTCCCAGGAGGTCACTGTATTGGTGCTGGATTTAGCTTGGACACCCAGTGGGTATAGTACACTACAGCCCAGAGCTCCCAGCCTCAAGCGATCATGGACCTCGGCCTCCAGAGTAGCTGGGACTACAGGCATGTGTCACTGTGCCTGGCTATCTTTCTGTTTTTTAAAGGGGATGTCTGGACCAAGACTGCACAGTGACCCTGGGCAAGGCTTGAGGGGAAGGAAGAGGCAGAGGCCACGGCAGGCACGTGGCCAGGCTCAGGGACCTCTAGCTTGCCCAGGGGGCCCTGTTTAAACACAGCCACCAAGGCTCTCCCTAGTTATTCCAGACTCCAGGCCAGGGGACGAATCCGATGCTGCTGTCCGTCTTAGCAGAATACAACCGGGAACCACAGGAAGAAGCTGTGTCTCAAGTAAACAGCAAAGGAGTAAACCCTGCAGGAAATCAACGTGTCATGTGCCACCACAAGCACTGAACAGTTTTCTAGCGTGGAGCATGAAGGTCCTGTCAGGCCCCCAAGTTCCCAATGCGGTAAAGCCGCGTGTGCAGCCGGCCACGGGGAACCACCGCAGCCAGGGGAGACCCGGCCCGGGCCAGACCCTGCTTCCCATCATGCCCCCGGTCCTAATGGGGCAGCTATACTGGCTGGAAGCAGTCCATGGGTGGGCAAAGTCACAACACCTGTGCGGGGGCCCTGGGGAGCCCTGAGGAAGAAGATGCCTGACGGGAGGCAGGGCACCCTGATGTTGTCAGGCCATGCCAGGTGGGAGCTGGCTGCCCTCAGTCCTCTGGGTAGCAGGCAAGGCTGAGTCTGAGAGGCCTCGGGGACTGGGAGAGGCAGAAGGGACCTCACTTCTGCCGTGCCGGGCAGCGTGAGCCACGGAGAGACTCCGCTGTGGCCTGGTGACAGTCACTCCCAGTCAGCCCTGATCAGTGTGGGTACATTCCCTCGCTGCCCTACTGGATAACGGGGGCACGCAGAAGGGAGGACAGATTTTAAACCGCAACGCGCTTTCGTCCCAGAGCCCAAGGCTTTCTTCTCCCAGGACAGCACCACAGCCTTGAGAGCTGGAAAGATGCTCAGAAATCATCCTATCCACCCTCTTTTATGGACAGTTGAGGAAAGTGATGCTCAGGGAACAGAAGCAGTGTCCCTAGGTCCTTGAGCTGGGCCTGGAGCAGAACTATGGAAGCCTGGCAGGTCATCCCCACCAACTCTGGCTGAGGGTCTCAGCTCAGCCCTTCAGAGTGAGCCCTGGGAGGATATGAGGTGGGGGCCTGGGACCAGCACAGCCCCAAGGCAGGTATCCCAGGGCAGGCAGGAGCAGGGAGGCCTGGGGGCACTGGGTCCCAGCTCAAAAGACCTGTCTGCAGCCAGGGTCCCAAGGACCACCACACAGGTTCCTGGGAAATGCTTTATAAAGGGCTAGAAAATGGGCATGTGTTTTACTATTACTACAAAAGCAATAAAACTCATTTTTTCCCTTAAAATCAAAAGCTGTCTCCTTCTTGTTAATAATAATAAAAAAAAAAGGCCAGGCTCAAAAGCAGAGGAAGACGGAGAGAACAGGTATTACTAGTAATTAAAGCTTCCACCCTGCAGTCTTCATCTGCTGTGAATGGCCTCCTGGGAACTGGGCCAGGCTGCGTGGGCAGGGCCCTGGCTCTCAACATGGACTTGACTGGTCTCTTCACTTACTGGTGGGGATTCCTTTGAGCAACCCATTTTCTTCCTCAGTCTCAGCTTCCCCATAGGCAAGACAGGCATTATAACGCGAAGATGAAAGAACAGAAATGAAAGAGGCAGGCAGAAATGCTGGGGCAGGATGTCGGGCAAACAGGAGGGGCTCAATACTCGCTGAACAAATCGGAACGTGAAGGCTCAGCCCTCCTTCCTTCCTGGGGCTCACTCACCTGGTGGTGCTCTCTGGCCTGTGCTCCGCCTCCACCGGCACCGGGGGTCGGCCCATGTCCAGGTGCTGTTCCAGCACTTGCTGCCGGAACTCCGACACCTGAGACTGCCGGTCCTCCTTCTCCTGCCGCAGCCGCCGCTGCCGCGCCAGCCACTTCTCCTCCTCGTTGGTGCGCTGGATCAGCAGGGCTGTGGCAGCACTGCTGCTCGGCAGAGAGAAGATGCCGTGGTTGGAGATGAGGCTGGGCACCGTGTGGTGTGGGGTGGGCACCGGATGCAAGGGGTGTTGCACAGGCTTGGGCGCCTGCAGGCCGGCATCCTTCAGCTTCTCTGTGGGGGGAAACGCAGTCGAGCAGGGTCTCAGTCACGTGGGCCAGCATGCTCCCTTCCCATCTTCTCTCGCCCAACTGCGCAGAGAAACCAGAGCCCTTCCAAAGGGTTCTTCCCGCAGCCAGAAACAAGATATTCAAAAGGGGCCCTATGGGAGCTTTCGAGAAGCAATGTCTTGTCCCTGGAAGGAAACGCTCCGTGCTGGCACAACTCTTGCCCAGCCAGTGCGGTGCCAGAGCCAGCTCACACTGGCTCAAAGAACAGACTATTGGCCGGGCGCGGTGGCTCACGCCTGTAATCCCAGCACTTTGGGAGGCCGAGGCGGGCGGATCACAAGGTCAGGAGATCGAGACCACGGTGAAACCCCGTTTCTACTAAAAAAATACAAAAAAAAAAAATTAGCCCGGCGCGGTGGCGGGCGCCTGTAGTCCCAGCTACTCAGGAGGCTGAGGCAGGAGAATGGAGTGAACCCGGGAGGCGGAGCTTGCAGTGAGCCGAGATTGCGCCACTGCACTCCAGCCTGGGCGACAGAGCGAGACTCTGTCTCAAAAAAAAAAAAAAAAAAAAAAAAAAAAAAGAACAGACTATTAAATTTCCGGGAAACATGTAAAAGCCGGTTGTTATTACTAAATAATTGTTTCGTAAACTTACAATGAAATAAATTATGTTAAACTCAACAAAGCACTCAAAACTTATCCCTTCCTGATGCCCTGGCTACATTTCACAACTGTCCTCCTGGGGGTCACCTACATCCACTGTGTCTATATTGCATGCCAACATGCCTCTGCTCCCTGCTCCACATCAGCCATGCCACGCAGGGTGAATGCAGTTGGGCAACATTTATACCATGGCAACCGGCAGGTGCTGTGATTCAGGGCTCCTCCCTGCAGGTGGCTGAGACCTTGCCCAGCACAACCCACCCACGCCCAGGCACCTGCTCGGGTTGGGGTCAGCTGCTCCGAGGGCTTGCCCCGCTCCTCAGTGGTATGGCCACGCAGCCCATGCAGCTCGGCCACAGGCAGGAAGGCGGGCTCCAGGGCCTTGGCGGCCAACAGCTCCTTCTCCCGGGCCCGCTGCTCCCGCTGGCGCTCCAGCTCACGCTCCTTCTCACGCTCACGCTCCTTCTCTTGCTCGCGCTCCTTCTCGCGTTCGCGCTCACGTTCCTTCTCCCGCTCGCGGTCAGCCTCACGCTCACGCTCACGCTCCCTCTCCCGCCTTAGCTCCTCGTCCATCTGCAGCCTGCAACACATGGAAAGAGTTGGGGGCTCTGCTGCACCAGGAACAAGAGAGGGACCTGGGACAGGTCCTTTAAAAGCATAACCAGGAAGGAACCAGGGCACTAATCCGAATAGCGACGGGAGGTGAGCAGGGTTTCACTGGTGCAGGAAGAACTTAAGGTCCATACAATCAAAGCAGCTTACAAAACCCCCAAGCACCCCCGAGAGCTCCTCGGCCTGCAGGTTTACTGCAGGAGACCACGGCTACCGAGACAGGCGCTATTTCAGAGCACAGAGCCTGAACGATCATTGTTCCATTTGGCAGGTGGACAAACTGTGAGGACAGGCATGGCCAAGGAGTCCAGTCAGGTTCCAGACCAGGCTTTCTGCCCAGCTGCCATCAAGGGACAGGGAGGGCAGAGGGGCTCCTCGGCCCGAGGCACACTTACCTCTCAGCACTGAGGCCGGACATGCGCTCCGAGTGCAGCGCTGCCAGGGATGAGTGGGAGAGCTCGGGGGGGTAGCGGACCCCGGAGAGGTGGAGGTGCATCGCTGATGGGTGCAGCGGGGGCAGAGAGCCGGGGGTGGGGATGGGGTAGAACGGGGACCTCAGGGCGGACAGGCAGTAGGAGTCATCCATCCTGTGCGGAGAAGACAGGGCCATGAGCAGCAAACAAACCAAGGGGAAGAACCAGCCCTGTGGACAGGTGTGCCTCAGCCAGGTACACACACCTGCCTGAGCGTGGGGAATGCGGCAAAATGGCTGGGGGTGAAGACCATGCCTGCTGCTAACCCCAAAGTCCCTTAATGCCGGAGGCTGCTAGGTGCCGACAGCTTGGGGTTCCAAGGCACTGCTTGCCACCTCCTTTGGCTCAGCACAGAGCGGTCAAGTGCCCAGGCCCTTCCAAGGCTGGCCAGCAGGCTGGGCTGCCCTGATGTGGGGCGGTCTATGTCATGACTCCAGGCCCCTCTGACTAGGATGTGCAGCGCTTCTCCAGGGACCCAGGCTATGCCACAGGGCCACTGGGCTCTCCTGCTACATGGCAAAGCATCGCCCCTCCCACGGGTAAAGCCCTGCTCTCTTAACAGTGACTCGCTGTCAGTGGACCCGCAATGAGAAGGGGAAGAGCCAGGGATGACAGCACAGTCACCAAGGGGGACTGTCTACAAGGAGGGGACAGTCCCCTAATAGGCCATCAGGGCTGAATTTGGGCTCAAAGCTGGGGACAATTTCAGGGGCTACTCTAGATACTCCCCTGGGAGCCTGGCCCCAGGTTGTAAGAAACCCCTTCCCCGCCAGGTTCCGTCTTGCCAGGAACAGACGAGCACCCACGTGAGACGGCGCGCGGGGGATGCCTTACCTGAAGGCCGGGTGGGGGAAGGGGTGTGGGGCCAGGTAGCTGGGGTGGTAGTAGGCTGCAGCAGTGGCCGGGTCCAGGCCGAGGGGAGGCAGCGAGGACATGCGGAGGTCGTCAGTGGTGTGGTAGGGCCGGAAGCTTCTCAGGTAGTCCTCGGTCACGGTGCTGGGGGGCACCACGTGGTGCACAGGCCGCTGGAGGCTGCAGGCAGGGACAGTGGGAAGAACAGGTGAGTGGAGACCTGCTCCCGCGTGGGGGGATGGCTAACCTCCCTGCATTGCCCCTGGCACTCAGTCGGCACCCAGACTCCTGGCACCCAGAACGAGGACGGGGCTTAAGCAGTGGGGGAGCGAGCTGCCACCGCCACCTCAGTGTGGAGGGGCACAGACAGGGCTGCAGTCCCCAGAGCTAAGCGGCCGACGACCATCTGGCGGACACAGCCTCATCTGTGGAGGCCGCAGGCTGCCTGGTGATGCAGACCTCAGCGCTGTGTCCCCACCTGGCCGCCTCACCGAAGGCCCCGCCGGCCAACTTACTTGAGTGGTGGGAAGCGGGAATCCTGCACAACCGAGCTGGGGGAGAGGCCGAAGGGGTAGGGGGTGCTAAGCAGGTGCGAGGGGATGGCTGGGCCCCCTGCCTTCTCCTGGGGGAGCGGGGGCTCCACAATGAGGCGTTCCCGACCTCCACTGCTGCTCCTGGAGCCGGCGTCCTGCGGGAGGAGAGAATCCGGTCAGGGCAGGAGCCTGGTATAGGCCACTGCCCACAGGACAGAGCCAGGTCTCCTGACTCATGGGAAGGCTCTAGATTTAGTTCATGTTCTAGAAACATCCTTTCCCTAAGGCTTTCTACACAAAACATGGTGCATGTGGCGTGGGAAGCAGAACCGTAAGGAAGGGGATGTGGCTCCAACAGGTCTGGGGTGAAGCCGTCTCGGGGTCGGTCTCCCTCCCTGGGCCTCCTCAGTTCAACAGAAGAACTAGAACCACCCCCGCCACCCAGAACCACAATGTGCACAGGTGAAGGATGCAGGGCGGCAGGGGTTCCTGCCTCCACCGTCGCTGGTGTGGACATCCAAAGGTCACACCAGACACACACCAGGGCAAGCAGACACTGTTGGCACCCAGCACACCATGATGCGAGTGCCACGATGTAGCCAAGACGTCAACAGCGCCAACAGCTGCCCATCTGACCTCAGATGTCCTGGTCCCGGTGCCCACGTGGAGGGCAGAGGCCATAGGAAGCTGGCACTGCCCCCGGGCTGAAGGTGCTGGTCTGCCCCCAACCAACTCCTGCGGTGGCCCTAGCCCTGGCCCTCGCGTCCACCAGAACAGGCAGCAGCTGGGCCCTGACTGGCCAGCTGGGGTACTGGACTTCACACACACGGTGGGGCAGGGAAGGCGACAGCTCGCCTGTCCCAGGCTCCTGGACAGACAGTGGACCTGGGTGTAGCTGGGAAGGTGACCCAGAGGACTCAAATGAGGGGTCTGCTCTAGGCACAAAGCAGGAGGAGGCAGTGGCCCAAGGCCCACCTCTCTGGCTGAGGTCCCTGCCAAGTCCAAGGATAGGCCGTGCCACCCCCAGCCACACAGAGGCCACCCTGCGCACCCATCCATGCGGGGTCCAGCCCGGAGAAACCAGAGCGTGAAAAGGTCTTGCTTGTTCCTGTTATTCGTGTGACTGAGCGGGAGGCAGAGCAGGGCTCAGGGCCGCCCAGATGGGGGCTGTGCTCTAGACTCTGGATGGCTGCCAACCCAGGTGTCACTCTGTCACTGGGGCAGCCACTCTCAGCCCCAGCATCTCCCCCATGTGGGGACAGCACTGCCCAGGCCTACCCTGACCTGGGGGTATCTGAGGGCCATGGCCCCGCTGGCCCCTCCGAGCTTCCCAGGGACGCAGAGTCACGGGAAGCCGGCCCTTCCTCACGTTCTATGTGGCCGTGTCCGGTAACGACTGCTGATCGGCAGGCCATGCTCCTGAAGAGCACCAGCCCCGCTCTGCCTCCCTGAGCCACGAAATGCCAAACACCCCCAAAACAAGGAGGCTGTGGCCGTCTCCCCACAAAATCAGCAGGAATGATGGCCCAGGGGCTCTGAGACCTGCCCCACTGCGGAGAGGCGTCTGTCTCCCAGGGGCCGTGCCTGTGTCCCTGACCCCCCAGCCCCTCTTCCTGGGCCCATCCATCTTCACGGCGGCAGACCGTGGCCCGGCAGCAGCACATGGCACCCGCGCAGAGGCAGTGCAGGCAGCCCCGGCTGGCGCCTCCCCCACTCTCCACCCTCCAGGAGACAGTCAGCGAGGATTAATTGGAGGAGCTGCTGCCACCGCCGCCTGGAATCTTCAATGAGAGGCAGCATCTGCTCCCTTCCCGCGGGCTGAGCCCCAGCCCCCCTTCTCTGCAGGGTCCTCCCGGGTTCACGACCTCTGACCTGCCTTTCCAGGGTGCTAGTCTCGAGGGTGGGAGGTACACATGGGCACTGGCGCCCTGCGTGGGGCCAGGAACTTCCTATTGATGGGCCAGCGCCTGGTCTTGGGGTCTCCAGCCTGTGTCAGCAACCGGGGTAGTGGGGGAGTGGCCGAAGGGCCAACCTGACCTTGGGCCATCCTGTCGTGCCTCGTGCACACATCAATGGCATGTGCCCGTCACAGCACCTGCTCAGAGGTCAGTGGAGCTGATGGCGCAGCTGTGCACAGGCATGCGGGGGACTCAGGGCAGCGGAGTTGATGGCACAGCTGTGCATGGGCATGCAGTGGATGTACCAGCAGGGTGGGGGCCTGGACATGGCAGGTGCATCGCCAAGCTTGCCCGTCTACCCCAGCCCCGTGAGGCCATTTCCAGGCTTGGCTTCTAGATCCTGCCTCGCGCCCCTACCCTACCTGGCACAGGGCCAAACATCTGAGGAATGGAGCACAAAGCAGCAGCTCTGTCCCCAGGGCTTGGGATGGACTGAACTAGACTGAGTGGCCCCTGGCCCCCCAGCATCCAGGTAGCACACCCCAGTGAACACCAGGCCCAAAGCTAATGGGCCTTTGAACTCCCAGAAAGGGACGTCATTTGCTCAGGCACCCGGGGGACCTGGACTCCCCCTCCCAGGCTGGTGGTGAGGCCTCCAGGACAGGAGGGAGACGATAGCCAAGGAGCTCAATCATCACCCAGCCCTGGGTGGCCAGAGTCAGAAGAGGGCTGGAGGACAGACCCGACCCGAGGACAGCACCCAGGGAGAAGCTGCCAACAGCCGAGGCCTGCCGCCCTCCTCCGCATGCTGCCCGCGTCACGGGCCGGGTCAAATGGCAGAGCACAGGGCCCCAGCCGCCCCGCCACAAGGAGGGGCCTGTCCTCGGCCCAGACACGGCCCTTGAACCCCTTTACCCTCAGCCGAGGACAAAGCCCTGCTCGCAGGCCAGATGGCACCTTCCTGGCCTGGTTGAGGACAAACAGGGAGTCCGGGAGGCTGGGGGGCAGCCAGCAGGTGGGGCAGGGGCCCGCCCGGTGAGCCAGACCCAAACGTCTGTGGCTTCCGTCTGGCTGGCACCCGGCCAAGCCTGGCACAGACACCTGGGAACTAGGTCAGCGGGGCCTGGAGTGAGGCACAGGGCTGCCCCCCACCCAGGCAAGGCCCGGTAGGCTTGGCGGCTACCCCCAAAGGCACCCCGAGAGCAGCAGCCAGGGTCCCACTGCCGTCTTCACAGACAGACCCATCAGGGCGCATCTGCGGGCAGCTTTTGATTTCTGAGCAGCGGCTGCAGCCGCAGCTGCAACGATGAAAGAAAGAAGGCGGAGGAGGGTTAGAGGGGGAGGGGGGAAGAAGGGGAGGAGGCAAATCCGTCATTCTCCGGTGATTAGAGCAAGGGTTCCACAGTCAGACAGGCAGGACATGCCCTGTTAGCTTTAAAACAGGCTTTTTCATTTCATTTCTCCTCTGGCAGCTCCCACTACCTGGGAGAGCGCGGTGACCCCTAGAAGGGGCCGAAAAGCCTCCGGCCTGGCGCCTCCCACCTGCATCTGCGGGCTCGGAGGCCCCTCACGACTCGTGGCCAAGGCTTTGGGCAGCGTGGGAGGGGAGCCCTGTCTCCGCCTCCCCGCTCCCTGAGAGGATTAAATTCCCCGCTGAGCCTCTGTGCCCGAGTGAGCGGGGAGCCGTACATCACCTGCTAATCCAGCTCCCAGCCCCGCGCCTTCCCTGGTGGCACCGTGTTCCATTAAGCGCCGAGGTGGGAAACTGCTGCAGCAGGGCTGTCGCGCCCCTGCTCTGCCCTGGGCTTGCTCAATGTTCCCAAGGCGGTCAGGACCCTCTGAGGAGGGACCAGCTCAGAGTGGAGGCGTCACCAGGGAAGGCGCTGGAACCCCCTTGAGGAGTCCTGGGCCTAGGCCAGGAGCTCCAGTCCGGGTCAAGGCAGTGGCTGGGTGCAGGGTCCCGGCCGGTAGAGGCTCCTGGTCCAGGCTGGGGCAGGGAAGCGGCCTCCTGTGAGCTGCGGGCGTGGGCACCAACAGCCAGGCCGCATTAGTGGGGCGCAAGGAGCCTCAGCTGTTTGAGTCACGTGATTCAGGGCTCCTGTGGTCAAGGCTGACCCTGAGGGGTGGCCTCTGGAGGCAGCGAGGTGGTAACAACTCCCTCATCCTCCCTCAAACCAGAACCAGGGCCGCCTTGGGCTGCTGCAAGCCCTGTGGGGTATGGAGGCCCCTCTGGCCTGGGTCCACCCTCCATGCCACGCCCTGCCCCGCCGTCTCCAAACCTCACATGAAGGATGAGTGAAACTAAGAGAGGCTTCGGGGGCAGAGGAGGTCCAGCAAGATGAGGACCCCGGGCAGGTTTGTCCTCTCAGCCAGGGAAGGCGTGAAAAGAAGCAGAGGCAACGTCAGGCCCCGGGGGTCCCAGTCCAGGGCTCCCAGGGATCCCCACTGCGACCCTGGATCAGGGCCTGCCCGGCGGCTGTCACCTGTGGACTGAGGCTGCTCCCTTTCCACACCTCTGGGGATAGAGGACAGACAGGACCCGATGATGACCAGGTGGCTCCAACGCCCATGTTCCCTGCCCCCCCGGCCCCCAGGAGAGAGGGCTGGTGCAGGGAAGAACCACTCCCCTCCTCCCCAGCTTCTTTGTGGTTTAATTAGTATTTCCAAGTGGGGCCGTCCCTCTGGGAGCTCAGCAAAAAAGTCCAGGCGACAGCGGCACCGGAGAATCGTTTTTAATTGGGAAGGGCCCATTCCAGGCTGCGCGCCAGGCATGGGGGCTGGGAGAGCTGCAGGTAGCCACCCGGGGACGCGCCAGCCCCAGGCAGGGGCAGAAGAGCAGCTCCCAGTGCCAGCTCCTTCCACACAGGCAGGCCCAGTACAGCGCGAGGGGCGCACGGACATAAGGAGCCCCGAAAACTTGGGGAGGGGCCTCCGCCGGGAGCCCCAAAAGTAAGACAGAAACACAAAACCCATCAGATGTCTTGTTCCGATAGCTCCTGGGCTGGGATCTTTCCTACCTCAATTCTTTGTTGAGTTCACACAGTGACAGTCACAGGTAGTCTGCCGGGTGTTCGGCGTGCAGACGCCACTTTACGGCTTGACAGTGCTACAGCTGTGAACTGGACTTCCACCCCCACCCAAATCCGTGTGTTGGAGCCCTGACGCCCAGGGCCTCAGAGCGGAACTGCCTTTGGAGACACAGTCTTTAAAGAGGTGACTAAATGAGAATGAGGACACGAGGGTGGGCGCTAAACCAACGGACTGGTGTCCTTACGAGACGAGATCAGCACCCAGACGTGAAGACACCACAGATGACCCAGGGAGAAGGCAGCCACCAGCAACCCAGGACGGGCCTCTGGGGAAACCAGCCCTGCCAGCCCCCAGATCGTGAACTTGTGGCCTCCAGAACAGGAGAAAATAACGGGACACCCCCAGCGGGTGGTTTCTTCCGACAGCCTGGGCAGACTGATGCGTGGGCCGAGGTACTCACCCGCACAGGGCCTCCAGGAGGGTGCCGCTGTCACTCACCTCCCATTGCAGGGAAGGAGACGGAAACTCAGAGTGGGGGAGGGCGTGTCTTTGGAATTTAAACTCAACCTTGAAAGCTCCAGAGCCCCCAACGGATGCCTGAATCCAGCCTCCCCTCAGAAGATGCTGGGCTCCCTGCCCCGCCCCACTCACCTGCCGGCTCTCGCTCCTCCAGACGCCATTGACGGTTTTGGTTGGAGCGATGGTCACCACGGGGGGTGTGCTGGGCACGCTGTGGCCCCCAGGGGGGACGATGATAGGGCCCATGGGCACGCGCTTGGGTGTGCTGGCAGGGGAGCTATGGTTGGTGGCCGGAGAGGACACGGGGGACGACTCGCTGCTCAGTGAGGACCCTGTGGAGGAGAAGACGGTGGTCTGAGTGGGAGAAGCAGTGACAGCTGGGGACCTGGGTTCCAGCTGTCCCCCTGCCCCAAGTGAGGCACCCAGAGCACCAGGTCTACCAGCCTCGTGGGCCCCCACCCAAGACAGGCAGGCAGGAGACACCCCTCCTGAGGCCCAACTGGGTCAGCAGCTCAGTCTACCCCAGGCACTCCCTATCCCTTCGCCCCACTCTCCCTGGTCAAGAGGCACAAAGCACAGATGCTCTGGTGCCCAGGGCCGCCAACCGCCACCAGACAGGAAGGAACCTGGGCAGGGCAGGCAGGACCAGCACCTGACAGCCCTGAGTGACAGACGAAGGCGGCACCTTTCGGGACAGACATGGAGCCCCGGAGTTAGAGAACACACGTGTTTCTAGATGTCGTGAGCCAGTGGTCTGTAAACATCCCAGGACACACAGGCCAGCCGGGCCACACACCCTGCCCCGCCGAGAGGCGGCTCCACATGTGAGCAGCAGAGACCTCAAGCCTCCAAGTCTTCCCAGGGAGCCCCATGTGCTTGGGGGATGTGGGGGTCACAGGAAACGGTATCCCCTCTGGGGGCTCCCATCAGGCTGGGGAGACAGGGGGCTGGAGGGTGGCAGGAAACAAACATAAGAAGTGGTCGGCACTGGCTAGGCGCGGTGGCTCACGCCTGTAATCCCAGCACTTCAGGAGGCCGAGGCGGGCGGATCACGAGGTCAGGAGATCGTCCATCCTGGCCAACACGGTGAAACCCCGTCTCTACTAAAAATACAAATATTAGCTGGGTGTGGTGGCAAGCACTTGTAATCCCAGCTACTTGGGAAGCTGACGCAGGAGAATCGTTTGAACCCAGGAGGCGGAGGTTGTGGCGAGTGGAGATCGCGCTGCTGCACTCCAGCCTGGTGACAGCGTGAGACTCCATCTCAAAACAAAAAAAGAAGTGGTCAGCACCCCTGAATGGGGCCCAGCCAAGCAGGGACGCAGTGCGGTGGTGGCTGAGGGAGCCCAAATGGCAGCCACTCAGGGTGACCCTGGGGGAGTTTTATTTTTACATTTCAGAAACTGACATGTAATTCACCATCTTTAATGATACATGTCAGGAGGTTTGCTTAGGTTCGCTGTTTACAACCACCACCACAACCTACCCCAGAACTCGCCCATCATCTCACAAAGAACCCCTCAGCCCCCCGGATGCTGTGGGGATGGAAGAATGGGTGACTGCAGCCCTGCTGGTAGCAGGGGGAGGGTGCAGGGCAGGCAGGAGGGCTCAGGGCCTGGGTGACAGATGGCTACAGCCAAGAGGATACCCCAAGGGCAGGAGGTGCGGACGGGCAGGTGCAGCAGGGGTTTGGACAGGGGAGGACAGGGAGAAGTGTTCCCAGGCCCTAAGGGAGGGGGCTCCCTCCATCACAGAGCAAAACTGCCTTCTCAGACCAGGGCTCCCCTCTGTTGCCTCCCTCCCACCCAGGTCAGAAAGGGACCAAGCGTGTGTGGTGGCAGGGGTGGGGGTGAGGATGTCCAAAGGCACCTGCTCCAAGAGTCCTCCTATCCCCAAGCAGGTGCCAGCCTCACTTCCACAGCCCCCACTCCCTTGTTGTGGGGGTCAAGTCCCCGTGACCGAGGCCAGAGCAGCTCCCCAGAGGCTGGGGCTGCTGGTGGGGCCTGGGGCTCCAGAAGCTCTGCTGCTTCTGGGTCAAGAGCCCTGCCCAGCCTCACAAGGCTCGGGGGAGCACAGCTGCACACTCACACCCCCGACTCCAGCTGACCTGCGGCCTGCAGGGAGGAGACCCCGTGCCGCTCACACGGTTGTGGACTTGTACACAGGTCAGTGTCCAGCTCACCCTCCCCAAGCCCCCTTCCCAAGCCCCTGACACAGGCCTACGGAAGCTCTCCATCCCCAAGAGCCAAACACAGCACCCAATCAGTGTCCAGCACAGGCCAAGGTCTTCAACAGGGCAGGCCACAGAGGTGGCCCTGGATTCTATGGTATCACAGCACAGTGTCCGCTGGGGCAGGTTCCAGCAGGAGCAGACACACATCCACCCACCAGCAGCACCGTGTGTCCAGGCAGCCACCCATCACAGCCGCTGCGCAAGCTCACACCTGGGCTCACGGGGACAGGTGCTGCCGTCTGAGGCGGTGAGGTACAATTGGGCACCTTCTGTTTGCAAAAGCCCCACTTGGGAGGCACCTGCAGCCCAGGGCATGGCAGAAGCAGGGGTCAGATGCCCTTTCCAGGAGAACCCCAGCCCACCAGCTCCCGGCATCCTCCCTGACTTCTGTTCCGAACTGGCCTTGGTTCCGGGGGCAGAAGCAGTGTCATCCCCGCTTCACTGCATCCGGAGTGGGCGCACACACATTCACCAAAGAAAACGGCTTACAGGGGGTGCCCAGAGTCGTCAGGCAGCCAAAGTGGCCTCCGCGGTGTGACGGGAGGGGGAGGCTCCACAGGCATCCCCATGTGGAAACAGAACTTTGTTCTCCCAAAGGTGCTCCCTTGGGGGGGGGCAGCTGTCCCGTCCCCAGAGCACAGTCCTGTCGCCTCCTGCAGAAACGCTATCTGGGCCTCTTTAATGTGGATTCCTGGCTTGTGTGCAGCCTGCAAAACTGGACAGGGCAGCCCCATGGCAGACACTCAGTCCAGCCACATTGGCCATGCCCCAGAGCAGCCCGGAGGCACAGTCACACTCTGCCCAGCAATGAACTGCTCAAGGCAAGGCCCCCACCTCATCACGCTCCCACCCACCGCGACCTGGCCCAGGTAGGGAGGGAGGCTGAGGGCTGCTGCCCCTGAGGCGTGACCCGCCCCCAGGCCCCCAGATGGACTAGCCACTCACTCACTGCCCACACCCCGAGAACTCCACCACCCCAAGTCGGCTGGGCCAACCCCTGGGACTGGGCACTGTGCTGGCGGGATACTAGATCCACCTGAGGAAGGAAAACGCTGGCTGCACGTCAGGGCACCATGCCCCTCACCTCGGGGGCAGGGGGCGGGACAGGAGAACAGGCCTCAGCCCTCCTATCTGTGGGTTCGTTCTGCACACTGGCGGTCTAGCTGCTTTTCTGTACGTATTTAGATTTTGAGAAAAAGTTCACTTAAAGTTTTTGGGGGAAAAAACCAAAAACCAGGGAAAGGATCTTTCTTTCAAAAAAAATTCCGTGGAATCTCCATGGCTCTTCGGTTTCAGTTGTTACCGCTTCACTGAGCTATGATTCCATCCCGCGTAACTCACCCACCCAGCGCACGGCCCCCCGGTTCCAGCACGTTCAGAGTTGCGCGACCATCACAATCCATTTTAGAGCATTTCCGTCACCCCAAAAGGAACCTGGTACCCACGAGCAGCCACTGCCCTCTTCCCCAGGCCCCGCACGCACTGGCTTTCGTCTCTGCGGAGGGGCCTGTTCCAGAGACCTCACATCAAGGGAATCCCACCGCATGCCCTCTCGTCTGGCGTCTCTCACTGGAGCCGCGTTTTCACGGCTCATCCACGTGGCAGCACCTAAGAGAATCTCTCCTTCCTGAGGCTAAGTGACAGTCCACCGTGTGCCTCTGTTCACCCAGTCCTTACTGGTTTGCCCTCAGCTGGTGGCATACAGGCTGGGCCCACCTTGTGGCCGCTGTGAACAGCACTGTGCCCACCACTCTTTTTTTTTTTTTTTTTTTTGAGACAGGATCTCACTCTGTTGCCCAGGCTGGGCTGGAGTGCAGTGGTGCAATCACTGCTCGCTGCAGCCTCAACCTCTTGGGTTCAAGCAATCCTCCCACCTCAGCCTCCTGAGGAGCTGGGACTAAAGGCATGTGCCACCAGGCCCGGCTAGAGTTTTTTTTTTTTTTGGTAGAGACAGGGTCTCGCTATGGTGCCCAGGCTGGTCTCAAATTCCTGGGCTGAAGCGATCCTCCCGCCTCGGCCGCCCACAGTGCTGGGATTCCACATTACGAGTAACTGCGCCTGCCTCACCACTCTTCTTCGTGGGATGCCCTCCTGTGCACCCGGCCCAAACCCAGGGTGACCCCATCTAGATTCCAGTAGCTGTGAGTGGAGGAAATGTGGACATCTGTGCTCTGGAGCTGAAAAAGGAAATAAAACCAAGACACCAAGAGCCGCCACCCCGTCGAGGCAGAGGCTGCTGAGAGCTCATGATCCGGGCTCCTGCTGCCCAGGGGAAAAGTTGGGGCCAACGGCCAGGTGGGCTCTGGGTCCTCCCTGGGGACCGGACAGACAGCGGGGAGGTGGGAGCAGGAGCCCCACCATGTGGCAAGCCTCAGGGACCTCAGAGACTTCTCTGCACCCCAACTCTACAAATGGGGAGAACCTTGCAGCCCATGCCATAAGGGGGTACAGAGACCCCGCACTGCCCCATCCCTCTGAACCCCACTTCCCAGAGAGACCCCTCGCCATGACCAAGGCAGCCTCCACTCCAGAGTCTCTGAATGAGCCTTGTTTCTAAACACCAGTGGGTGAGGAAGTGAGAGGAGGACGTGAGCGGCGGGCAGCTTCTCTGGGGAAGGGTCTTTGCCTGGGGCCAGGGGAGGCCATTGACACTCAGCGGCCTAATCCCTGCCGGGGGATGCTACTCACCAGACCAGCCAGCTCAGCCTCGATCGATGCCCCCGCAACGCCAGGCCCATTAGCGAGGCTGGCGCCTGGCCCTCGAACCCTCATTCTCACCGCGCGGCTGGAGCAGGAAGGTCTGTGATTGCTGTAATTAACTGGCGGTATTCAGCCAGGAGTTAGTCAATGAAACGGATCCGGATTGGAGATGACAAGAGGCAGCCCGCGTCCGCGTCACCTCTGCTGTCTGACCTCGAAGATTAGTGCTGAGGCCCACGGCAGATGTAATTAACAGCTGACACCCCAAAGTCAGCCGGCAGGTGGACTGAGGGCAAAAACAGGACTGCAGCACCACAGCAGCACCTATCAGCCACCCAGGCTCAGGCCCACCCCGCCAGGCAAAAACCACTGGCACCCCCTGAAGAGTCATCAGTCTTT